GATAACAAGTTTACCATCATTTTTACATAATCAACTAACAATGTTGTAAAGATGCAGGAAATGTCAAACAAACACTTTTAAGTATCTTACTACTTAAATAATAAGGCTATTAACATGCCTAAGAATTAAATCTGAGGAAATCTGAGGAAATGTGAAAAAACAGCTTAACTTCTAAAATAATGCCCCGATTATGCTGATTTTCGAACTCAACCTGCGTTTTAGTAAGACTGACCATTCCTGTGAGTTTAATGACAATTGGGCTTTCTGTTTTTCTTATAATGTGTTTACAGTGTTGCATATATGCTGAAAAATGAAAAAACAGCATAACTACTAAAATAGTGGCCCGATCATGCCGATTTTCGAACTTGACCTGCGTTTTAGTAAGATTGATTACTCCTGTCAGTTTCATGACAACAGGCCTATCGGTTTTTCTTAAAATGTGTTAACAAGGTTGCATATATGCTGAAAAATGAAAAAACAGCATAACTTCTACAATAATGGCCGGATCATGCTGATTTTCGAACTTGACCTGCGTTTTATGAATATTTATCAGCTCTGTAAATATAAAGCCAAAAAGTAAAACTGTCTTCCACTTATCGTGTTAACGATGAAAGTGCACGGCGACGGCGACGACAGACGCAGGTGATGGCAATATGTACAGACACATCTGTGTCTGTACATAAAAACGTTCTATGAAGACTAAATAGTTTGCAAACCTTTGACTGACACAAGCATTAATCCTCATTTCAAAGAAAAAAAAAAAAAAATCAATGATAAATCTACAAAAAAGCACACTTTTTTATTTGCTTTTAATTCTGTATGTAAGTACAATATCTCAATAATTTGATGCACATTTAATGCCATTTACCAAGAGTTGACACAAGTGATAAAACAACAGACAAAATAAGTCTAAATCTCTATCTTACTGGTAAGCCTGGTACCCAGCATTCTTCTGTCAAATATCTTCACTGTGCTGTCGGCACAGCCCACTGCTAAGTGATATGGAACAACAGGGTCCACAGCCAAGGCACTCACAGCTCTTTTATTGTGGATCAGGATATCCTAAAGAATAGATAACAGAACAGATGACTATACACATAATGTCTTAATATCCTAGAAGTGAGACTGAACTGAAATGTTCACACAATCTTTTTTTTTTTTTTTTTTTTGAAAATCAAGTGTGCCTTACTATGAGAATCTATGGTAAATTGAAGTATCCAATATTTAGAGACTCTGAAAGTCAAATGATAAATTCATATATAAGTCTTTTAATAAAAATACCAATTTGTCACACATTTCATCTCAAACCATAACTTTAAATATACAAAAGGAAAAAAAAATAAAACATCAAATCAATGCTTACCTCTTTACAGCTCTCCTTCCTACATGATGTCTTCAACCTGAGGTCAAACCAGCGCACTGCCCCGTCTTCTCCACACGATAGAAAAGTGTGCGGGTCGTTGGGCAGAGTGAGGAGCTTTTAGAAAAATATAGAAAGACTAAGCATTTAATATTCATTGAGAAGATGGATTTCAAAATAAAGAATGTCACAGGCTCGTCTTATTCTATCACATTAAATTTTACCACTCTCTAGTGGTTTTAAGAGATATCATTTTCTCTAGAATAGTTTTGCACACCATAGCTTTATAGCAAAACTGACATATTTCTTATCAACACACTGCATGAGATGCTTTGCTCTCCGTATACACAGGTAAAAGCTCATAAAAACATTAGCAAAAACATTAGTTAAGCCTTGGTCACAACCGGACGCACAAATTTCAGGATCGTATGTCCCCTGTGATTTTTGGGTGTTGCGGAGACCGTGGAGTTCATAGAGGTAGAGGAAAGTCTGCCTTGCGAGTCCCAAGGGCCACATGAGATGTCCTTTCAAGCAGGGACGCTAATTGCAAGGAGTGATGGCCGTGGAAATTGTACTCATTTCTTGAATTTGTCTTGCTTCCTGTGTACGTGGCACACACTCACCGCTTACGAAAGGAATGCAACGCACGGTGAAAGTAGTGTCCTTTGTGTCAGTTTTGCTTCACACTTGCCTCACACGTTTGTGGTGACGTACTGATGGCGTAAGTCAGTTTTGCTTCCTGGAATCCTCTTCTTTCTTCTTCTTCCTCCCTTTTCACTACTTTGTAAGCTTCTTTCTTGCCTTTTGGAGGCATATTAGAAACTAAATTGAGCAAAAATTTGAAAATTTTGAAAATTGTTGTACACGTTACACAGTCGACGTTCATTGTAAAGACATGAGCGTGTGTCGTGAGCAAGCCTTTTATACACCAGGCGTGGGGGTGATGCACGTGCGACGCATTCCCGGTGTGCCCTCGACTTTGTTCGTTAGTTGTGAGGGCGTGCGCCTTACTCAACATGCAAAGGGCACTTGTTCCTTCATAGCTTGCGACGTGCGTCTTGCACAACTCGCTTCTCTCTTGCTAACTCCGGGCGAGGGGAGCAAGTTACGCTTGCGGCCTTGCTGTTTGCAGGCTATTCTTAGAATGTTTTGGACATGTCCAACATCCTTCGCACGTGCTTACGGGCTGTCTGCGAACTCGAAATTTCATAAGAAGGACTTGCGTAGGAAGAGCAAAACTTGGATGCAAACAGCCCGTAAGAACCCGTACGGCCGGTTGCAACCGAGGCTTTACCTTGTAAATGCTTCCTTGATTTTCTCGCATTCATACACTATTACTCACCTCATATGTAGTTCCAAAATGGCAGTTAAAAGAATTGGATCCCCAAGAATCTTCCCTTAATATATCTGTATAAAATATCACACCATCTCCTGAGCATGAAACAATCTGTAATAGGAAATGATTCTGATAACTGTTCTTCAATAAGTTTGGGTAATTTCATCATTTGCCAGGATTAGTGGATTCCACAATAATGCTTCAGTGACTGATAAACAAAAAGCATGTCTCTCTCATATATACATGACAAATAAAATTGGTATTTACCTTTGCATCACTTGACTGAGGCATAAACTTGGCACTGAAAATATTTGATCTATGTCCAGATCTAACTGATGTCAGCCTCTGAATCAAATGTAAAAGTATCAAATGTAAACTTTACATGGACAAAAATCATTTAAATGAGAAGCATATAGCAATAATCAAGATAAACTTAAAAGTAAACAACCAACAGTTTTCTCATCTTCATAGCCATTTATATGATGAGGAAATTTTTAAAATGATTAAATATATTTAGAAAAAATATGTATAAAAGTAATAGAAAAGCAGGAAATACAAACTTTCTTCGAAAAAGGATCAGTAATGCTGAGAAACTGGTCATCTGATCCAGATAAAATATATTGGCCAGTGTCATTCCAACAAATAGTGTTCACCTGAAAAAAAAGAAAAACAATAGAAAGACTTCAAGCTATTTAATAGAACTAATTTTGAACATCTTAACATATTGATAATTATAAAGTATTTGCTCAGGAAGTTTGAAACTGACAATTAAATTGGATACAGAGTTATGCATATGAAGAAAATATTTAAACTTTTTAGGAGCTTTGTCTCTTCTTTTCCAAAGCAGAGTGGAAAGGTGATGCTCATATAAGAAATTCTGATAGGTATACTTACACAGCCGTCATGCACTGTCAACTTGGTGTCCAATTTCAGTTTCTGTACAAAGTCTTCATTATCTTTAATTAGAAGAACATGGGGTATCCAATTAATCTATTAATAGCAAGTGCATTTTCATTTTGAGCCACTGTAGTCCCAAGCTCTGGCACACTTGACTAAGACTTTTAAGTCAAATGTTTTTAAAGATGTAGACTAAAGTAGTGCTCTTTACCTTCTATCTAGAAATAAATTATGTCATTTTAAATAGTGACATTTTGGATATTTGATACTACAAGTTTCAAAGAGAAAAAAGAAACCAGAATGAAGTCATTTGCAAGTCAACTTCACAAATGCAACACATTTTTGAAACAGTATCACAGATTCGATGAAATAAATCAAATTAACCATTTTAAAAAATAAGAAATTCTACCTATCTGTAATAGTCTCATGGTATTTGATGAGCTACAACAGTTTTGTCGAAGTTTCATCCAAATATGGACTACAAATATGATATCCCTTAGCAAAATATCTGGCCTGCTGCAAAAATGCTGCAAATTAGCAGCAATAACATTTTTCTTGCGAACTCCTGCTGTAAGCTTTCAATTTTGCAAAGGGATTACAAATCTTTCAAATCTCAAATATTTACAGGGATAACAACTCTTCATACAAGTTACAAGTATAATGTAAATGAATATCATTTTACCACCAAAACGGCGGCAATTGTAATTATTCTGAAATCTGTTCTTGCCATCCGACCGCGTGCGCCTTTATAGATGGCGGGCGATAGATGCCTGCCCTCCGTAATAGATATTCCCTTTAAAAGGCGGTTTACAAAGACATTAAAAACTTAAACAACTAACTTTGAATGTCGCAAGGATTCATTAATCATTGGTGTGCATTGGAAAATCGTAGTTTACCCCAGGAAAATCCGTGTTATGGCTCTTTTCCCGACAAAGTAAAGAGTTGTTATCCCTTTAACTCCGCGTGCTTGTACTAGTTTCGTCTGGTTTCGTCGGCAGAACGAGCGATGCCGAAAATTTATCTGCAACACTATTTGAACAGTGAAGGGACTTACTACTTATATCTGCAGAAAGTGACCTAAGAGACTTCCATCCATATTGCACTTTGTTCTGTTCTTTAAATATGTTGCCTTTTGCAGCCATTGCTATTTGTATATTCAGTCACAACCGAAACTCACGACTGGATATTTCACGACAAGAGAGAAAACTATCCACCGATATAGTTAATCGCTCACAACATGCTAAAAAGGGATTTTTGTTATCATATGCATCATTTGAGATAGCTTCAAAAATGTGACCGTTTGAATATAAAATTGAATAACAATGAAAATACTAAAGAATTCATCGTAAAAAAAGTCATGTGTATTTTATTTTAGATGATATAAGCACTGTTGATCACATGACATTTGGGGATGACCCAGATAAGGATGCAGGGTGTTAAAAAATGAGACAGCGGTCAGGATATTTACCAAACATGAAAAGTCGAGACGACAGGGTGAGTTTTAATATCCAGTAAGATGTGAAATATATACATAACCGATTTGGAAACAGTCTCTTGACTTAAGTTACAAGCCGTAATTAGCGACAGACTGTTATAATAATCCCTCTACTTCAGGACCAAACTCCGTCTCGACACTTCATTGTATTAGTGATGACATATGTATGGCATGAGCCCATTGATTGTATATCCATTTATATGATTTTAAAGCTATATTACACTAACTGTTGCTGTTTAATGCCCTGTTAATTTTTTATATTATCTTTTTTCTTTCCCCTTTTCACTGTTATCAAAACTTCTTTAATGTTTACAGAAGTAATTGCTACATATACACAACTTGGATCAAAGTTACAAGGCCACAAGAAGATCTAGGCAATACAAAATTGAACACTGGTAAACAAGTGTGCTTACCCAGTTGTGTACCACTTTTTGCACACCCTGTAACTGTCTGGGTTTTAGTTTTTTATTAATTAACATGCCATCTTCACCAGAACACTGTGATATTTACTGCTTTGTCCATTGTTTTAATGCCTTTTTATCTTTCGTTTCTCAACCACCTGGCAATTGAATTAACTAACCTCTGTAGTTTTTTCAAGTGTCTCTCAAGTCACTTATTAATATGTACCATCTCAGTTTACGTTGTACACATGCAGCATTTGTTATTTGAGTTCATTATTTTATACTTACAAAACAGATATACTTTTTGGACACATAGTTTACTTTGTAAAATTCTATGTGTGTGTGATTTTATCCTTATTAAATCTTATTTGATATCTTGCTTGACTAAATCCATAATCAAAATGTTTATATGAATATAAAGATTGTTTTTAGTACACCTTTGTAAGAATCTGATAAGTCGAAGTTTTAATGGCAAAATGCTATTACATATGTGTGACTTAAGGATGCTGTACTGTGTGCTTGCTTCTACTTTTATTATTATTATTATTTATTTATTCATTTACTTATTTATTTTTTTTTTTGTAGAATCTCAAGAGTTTTGTAAAAACACAGATGATTCAAAACCGATATCCCCTAATTTTTTTGTACTTACTTCAGCCAAACGAGGGTGTCAACAACACATCTGACCCTGACCCTCAGTTAGCCACTAAACTACCACCAGGCCGCGCTACCGTTAGTACAGGTACCACATCTAAAATGGTAGATCCCTATGCCATTTATAAAGATCCACTAGGCTTACGCCCTCATGTGGTTGATATCGACACCTTAACAAGGTGGAACAAGACAGAGGTACCAGCCTATGAAGAAGTAAAAGATAATTCTACTCAGACTGTGCCATTTCCATATAGAGAAGATGTTAATGCCAAAGTGGTGCTGTGGTAAGAAATGTATTTTGTAGGACAAAACATAATGCATAATTCTTGTCGCATATTTTTTAGTGAGAAAATATGTTGTCATAGTGTGATTATAAGAAACTGGACAAATCTCAACTTTAGGAAACGACCTTGTACACATGTATGTAACCTCATTTGGGTTATAAATTTTAATTTGCTTCCTAATATCTCTCAAATAAAGCTAAAAAATGATATGTGTGCATTGATAATTAATGTCTGTGACTGTGGTATCTTTCCAGGCCAGGTGATGTGACACGTCTTGGTGTTACAGCTATGGCACATCCAACCAACGAAGCTATGAATGACAGGAATCCACTCAGTGATTTAATGTATGAGATAGGTGGGCCAGAACTCAGGCAGGAAGTGAAACATTTGAGAGGTGGGCTGATGCATTGTGTCATTGTTGTCTTGTTTGTAGTATTATAATGTATATAGTACTTGTTCTCTTTATTATAGCAGCATTTGTTATAAGGTAAAAAATGTCTTTTTTTAGTTTCAAAAGATATGAATGCTTGTAGGGACTTAATACTAGATTTTGCCATTCATCTGCCATCAACAATGTTCTAGTACTTCCTGTGCTCTATACTTAATGAGTTCTAAACTCAGAAGTGTAGATGTGTAATGAAGATGTTCTGAAAGTTCCCAGAAATTTGGATGGTACCTTTAAGCATCAGTGTTTACCTGTACAAGTGCTCCAAAATGACATATTCCTAGATTTGAATGCTTTACCATAAGAAGTTTATACAGTCAACTTTTTCCTTGACAGGATGTAAAACTGGCGAGGCTAAACTCACAAAAGGCCACCAGTTACCTGCCAGATATGTGATTCACACAGTGGGTCCCAGATATAATCTCAAGTACCACACGGCCGCAGAGAGTGCGCTGTTCTGTTGCTATAGGAATGTCATGCAAATTGTCAAGTAAGAGGCAGCAGTTGTAGTAAACACATTGTCTAGGAATGATATGTTTTTGTCTTTTAAAGTTTAGAGAGATTCAAACTTATAATAGCTACCAAGAATGTAGAAATATTTTCAGATATGCAATTTTAAAGCTTGCTCATGGAATTGTTTTTTTTTTTCTTTATTTCAGAGAAAATAATCTTTCTTCCATAGCTTTTCCCTGTATACACTCACAAAGGAGAGGCTATCCAGTGGAGGAAGGAGCCCACATAGCACTACGTGAGCAATACATATATTTATAAGCGATTCGAAAATATTATTTTCATGTATGGCACATATTTATTTTAGTAATAAAAAAGATTCGAAAAGATCAAAAATTGTTCATCAATTGTTATTTATTATAATATTTGTAATAAAATTGTTAATCAGAATTAGGATATTGCTGCATAAAATTTGATGCACTGATTACACATCATTGTGGTGTGATGCATATTTTAATGTACAGACTAGAAGCAGTAATATACACCTCTCTCTTTGTGTTTGTAGGCACAGTTCGTAGGTTTTTAGAGAAGCATGGTGACTCTGTGGACACAGTTATATTTGCAGTAATGGAACACGAGGAGGTATATGGCATACTGTATAATCAGAACCTGTGTTATCAAAATATATTTTGCATCTTGTAGAATATTTCAGAGCATCATATCATATTAAAAGTCAATTCATGGCTCTTAAGCTGAGATAACTATGAATACTGATAACTCATAGTTCAGTCTGTATGGCTACTTTAAGAATTATGACATTTCATGCCTTCACAGAGTAGAGAGCTGGAGACATGGAGAGTACTGTGCAGCCGAGAGCTGGTAATACTAAGATGATAGTTTCAGTGTGGTAGACATTTAATTATAAAGAAGTGGTGTAGGAATTAGTTTCACTTTCTGTGAATTTTTTTCTTGTTGTGTGGTGTCGCATGCTTTCTTTTTCTCTAGGAAAAGATACATACTAGTACTTTTAAGAGATATACTCTTACACTATCCTTCATTAAAAGTCCCTATGCAAATTGCTTTTTTGAATTTTGATACTTGTGATATATCTCATCTGACACATTTAAGTTAATGTTACGCATGGTCACATTTGTGTTTATATATGGTAGCAGTAATCATTAGCATGTTGAGTTGAATTATTTTTCTGAGAGAGAGAGGGAGAGAGAGACTCACACTGCTTGTACCTACAGGATAACCTTAAGATTTTTTAACCGATTTAAATTTGGAAAGTTTCGGTATTTTTTTGTTTGCCCCTTTTAACACAAAGTAAATTGGTTTAAAGTCCATGTACTACATGTAACTCCAGCTTGCTCTGTCCCAGCCTTACCCTTCTTTCAAAGCTAATACCAACTATACTAACATTGTTTATTTTGGATGGTTAAATTGAAAAAAATAGCACCCTGAAGAGCATACAAATAAAATCATTTTAATAGCATTGTGGTACAACAATCTTGCTTAAAAGTAAATGCATATGCAATAAGACAGTGTATATTAATCTTAATGTTAGAATTATTTATTGCTCAATCAGTTTTTTTTCTCTCTGTTTGAAAGGAAGTTTACATACAGTTGCTTCCACTGTATTTCCCAAGAAGTGAGAAGGAAGCCCAGTATGCCATTGGGTTCATACCTGAAGACGTAGGCAATGAGGATGGGGAGCCAGTTATACCTGAAAGACAGATCAGAATAATGGACAAACCAACATTCAAATCACTCAGTAAGTTGTGTGTGTAAATAAAGATATTTGATGTGTACCTGATCAATACATTGATAAATTTGCCATGATCCTGTATCCTGTTACCATATATCACAAACAATATTTAAAATCTGGAAACGTGAGGACATTTGCTATTGTTTGTTAAATATTTTCAGCATATGAAAATCTGTAGTTTGATTTACTTCAAGAGTTGTTTTGCCACATCATGATTATGTATGACAATTGAGCCCTGTGGATGGTTGGATGGATCTCTCCTTTTATTCATTACCATTGCAGGATTACAGTAGCAATTTTGCCTTACTTACTAAGAGTTTAAAAATCTCATGAAGTTTTAATCATTGTTAAAATATGTCATAAATAGTGTTTATATTTATATTATGCCACATTGTTTAGACAAGGAAATTGTAAATGAGAAATGATTTGTTTCAATATTAAAAAATGTATATAACTGTACCTGAGAAAGGAGGTGTAAGTTTGTAAACATTATATTTCATTTTCCAGCCCACTATTTTTTGCTGGTCTATAAGAAGCCATGTTATCCTCTCACTGCAGTATAGAGCTTTTTTTTTTGATAAGATTAAACAATATTTGTAATTGAAAATAATTGCAATATATGGTTCTTTTTTTTTTATTTTTTAGAATAAGTATATTTTTAATTTTGACTTTTAATCCTTTTATTTGTATACCTTTAGATTTTGTTTGCAAATTTATAAAAGTTACACAATGACAAATTATAAAAATTTTTTACCTATCATACCATTACCAGTTTTCACAAATCTTTTTCCAAAGCTCCTATAACCATTATTACTACTGCCTCTGTAAGCAGCACTACATATAAAGTAAAATAGCAGTTCTAATTCACCACCACAGTTGCTGCCATGACTCCTGTCACCAATTTTGAACTTCTGTAATTATAAGTGTTCTGTCAATTACTACCAGTGTCACCATATAAAGTTCAACCCACGTGCTACAATACCAGTAGAATTCACCATGCAGTGAGCAGTACCTACCCAAGTATCATGACAAATGGATTCAGTCTATACTGAAGTTTGAATCAACTGACCAATTTTTTTTTACCTAAACTATATTATTTAAAACGTTCATTTAATTGAGAGAATGTCCTCTTCAATTCAGGCGATGAGGAAGCTGATGACACACGCAAGTATCTCATGTTTTTAGAAACCCAGAGATTTCCAAATGTAGACTTGGATCTTTCTTGCTTTCTTATGTTTTTAATCACACTTGGTTGCCAGTGCTGTGTAGTTATGTATTTCAAATGGGACTTTTGTTTTGCTTTATTTCGGTCAAGAAAACTCACAACTGCCCCTTGATTTGTGGTGTTTTCTGATTTCTCTCACTGTGACATGGGAACTTTTCTTTCCTCTGAAATGTTGTCCTATTATTACTTAAGGTATACATTTAGATAGCTTAAATATAGAGGTGATAGCAAATAGCATTTGAAATTTCATTCACTCTAAAAATACATTTTGTACTGCTATAATGCCTTAATGTTTGTTAGATTACATCATGTTCTAAAACATGACTGAATCTTTATAAACTAATCTTTGCTTTCAATTATTGGTTTTATATGACAGTGCTTCCTGCTCAGCCAGGCCTGTGGAAAAAAAGAGGGGGGGAGGGACTTAACAAAAATAAGAATTTTTGATATATTGAGAATGTTATATTTTTATAATTCTTAGATAAATAGCTTTATTTTGGGTAAGAATGGTGGTGTTTTTAATGGTTTTGTAGTGAAAATTAAGTACCATATACAGAAAAACTATATGTGAAAGTATGCCTAACAAATACAAATTTGTTTCACCTAATTATGCTCTTATTTTACAGAAACCACTGAGCTAAATGGAACAGCAGAAGGAATGGAGTCCAGTGTGAATATCAACGAGCAATTCAATACATCTGTAGCAGTTGGACAGCATGCATTTGCACACATGGAGGGAGATCATGACTCTCAGCGCCAAGAGGTCCTGAGGGGGAGAACGTCGTCCGAAGCTCTGGCTCTAGAGCAACAAAGAAGGTACAGTAATCTGTCCTTGTATTGCAAAGTACAGTGAGAATGTTTTGTTAGCTGTGAATAATATCTCTTCATCACTGATAAGACTTTTCCTACTTTGTAGGAATGCCGACTTTTTCAGGGTCATTTGGGTCATTCTTGTGAATTGTGTAAGTCTGGTGAATCGTGTAAATCTTACTTTTTCAGTGAGGACTGTTCTCATGCCTGCTTCATAAATAACATTGGATATATAAATATGGTAATAATGTAAAAGATAATACTAAGAATATGTGAATTGTAATTGTTCAGTTGATGGGGGCAAAACCCCTGGTGATATTTCAGAGAAAGTACTCAAATAAGATATTGAAATATTCTGTAATTTGAGAAGAATACTTAAACATTATTTTATGCATGACTAAATGTCTCATATATGGTTTAGTTGTACACAGCACATTTTTATTCACATCCTGTTGTGTTTTCAGGTATGACAGGTGGCTGAAGAGGGCCAGGAAAGAGGACCTGTCTGACATAGCCAGACTGCGGTGTATATATCACACGGGTGTGGATAAGATGGGCAGACCAGTCATTGTGTTTATTGGCAAAAATTTTCCTGCCACCACCATAGATTTAGAGAAGGTGAAGTCCATTTTCACATGCAGAAAAAATACCTTGAATCAGCTTAGTTGTAATGATATTTAATATTGCTCTTATTATTTTTTATCTTTGTAGTAATATAAATGTGTTTTAATTGATAATTTTGTAACTGTGCATTTCTTAATTAGTTCTTTTTATTTTGGTACTTGCTTTTTTATACCCCCAGAGGTAGCGGATAACTCTTTATTATATTTAAGTCACATTCCTTTTGCACAACTGTCTACCAAAGCCTGATTGAGGTGTTGCCCATCCATTCATGTCATCCTTCAGGCCTCAAATGCTGTGACACGTGGTGGTCTTGTTTCAGGCACTTCTGTACTTCATCCATATCTTGGATCCCATTGTGAATAAAGACTATGTTGTGGTTTATTTCCACACTCTCACAACAGGGGAGAATTTGCCACAGCAGGCATTTCTGAAAAGTGTATATAATCTAGTTGATCACAAGTAAGGAAATCACATTTTACAGGGATAAAAGCTCTGATTTCTACAAAGTCTGAATTAATTCAAAAGATTCATTATGGAATAAAAAATATATAAAGAGGAAGGAATAAACTCTGCACACAAAATTTTCTTTAGAATCTGTATATGTTTTTGCTGAATGTTCTCACTGCATGCTAGAACACGCAATAGCAAGCTGATATGGTAAATTCCTAATAATAGTAGTTCTAGGTCTTTCAAGTCAATCAGGGTCTTCTGGGTCTCACTTATTCTTTTATATTTTATAGATACAAAAAACACCTGAAAGCATTCTACATAATCCACCCAACATTTTGGTCCAGGGTAAGTCAGAAGAACTATGTACAGATTCACTAACAATAACATTGAGAATATTGTTTTGTCTATAAATTAAAAACAAATTTTTTTATAAGTATGATTTGTGGTTCTTTTTATAAGAATTACATATATTTGTAATTTGGATTGACTTACCTTTTATCTGAAGAGTACTGAAAATAAAAAAAAATAAAAAAAAAATCTTGGATCCAAATGTAAGAATGTTGTTGGTTATAGCTGCAATGAGTTAGTGACAATATTAACATTTCTTATCATGTCCTCTTCACACAGTTGATGACCTGGTTCTTCACCACTTTTACTGTGTCTGGCATCAAGAACAAAGTCCATGGTCTTCCAGGGATCCAGTATCTGTACGATAAGATCAACCCTGACGAGATGGACATTCCATCTTTTATACTGGACTATGACATGCAGGTAATTTTCATTTGCAGGATTTTTTTGTTTGTATGTATCTTACTCTTTCATATGTAACTTGTTTCTATTGAGTTCTGTCATGGTCAGCAAGTCTTAAGAGAGTTTAAGTTAAGATGTGGATGAATATTAGTCCATTATCAACTTTACTTTATCAAAAAAAATTTTTTTTTTGGCAAAAACATCATGTTTGATTAGAAAATGATGAGTCTACAGTTCATCACACTTATCTTTTTTAATTCGTGAAATATGACTTTTCAGAAAAATGGCAAGGATTATTACACCCCAAGAATGACAGAGGAAGCTAATGATTTATGAAACACAAGGTGCGCCAGATTGTGTAACTGGAAAATGTTCCAAAATATTTTGGAAAGTGGTTTGGTAAATAGTAACTTACTTGCCAGTCGGTGTATATCAGTGAAATTTACTTTGTATTTTTGCAGCACATTAAGTTAATTCCAGTGGATATTTTTTCCATGGTCATTCAGGCACTAATGGAGGATTGGGACTGTTGAAGATGCACTACATGTGTAGGTGTTACAAGTCAACACTTCAGCAGAAATGCTAGCTGCACTAAATTTCGGAGATTACAGCACTGGTAATTTGGTTGCACAGTGCAGTATATTTGTAGAGTGAAATTGTCTGCTAGTCATTGTAATATACATTGTACATATGACAATCAGTGGGAGGATTTTCCTAGAATTATGAATGCAATTGTTTAACAATATATGGGTACAGGCAGCATGGTGCATGCAGGGTCTATTAATGAAATGCCTGTGATAACCAGCAACATAACTGGATTAACTTAAAAAGATGTGGTTATTTAATAACTCTACTTAATATGAGAACATTCCACGTGATAATTAATTTTATGGTGCTAATTAGAATGATATTTCAAATGAAATTTAGTGCATTGTATAAAATGCTGCAGCACTGGTTTAATAAATTTTAAAAGAAATGTGGCCATAAGAGTATGAAGGCTATATTTGCTACATTTACGTCTTGCTCAGTTTGTGCAATATGCAGTTTTCTGACTGCTAACAGTATTTGTTATGTAGTGGAAAATTGCAGGTTTTCCTGGCCTTGATGCCAGTGTAGTTTGTATTGCAGCTTGGATAATTGATGCCGAAGTTTTGCCAAGAAAAATTTTATCTGAACAAGATATTTTCTTTACAGCTGCAGGATGATGAAAGTGACTTTTTCTCTGAAAATCATGCTGCACTTTGAAATTTTTATTTTGAAATAATGTTATAACTCACTGTCATTGCCTTCTGCAACTATTTCTGTCGTAATTCTGCCATGGATAATATATTCTTAATAAATATTAAGAGCAGATTCTTATTAAAGATGCCGCAAGTCTAGCTGTTTTATATATACATTACGTACAAAGCTCATCATATTGTTTAATTGATAAATTTGCAATTTGTCAAATATTTTGTCAGTGCATAAATTTTTGCCAATGTTATTATGAATAAAAGATTCTTCCACCAAAAATAGTTTTGTTTTGCATTGCATATTCAGTTGGAACTTCTAAGGGTTATATAACTTGCATGTTTTCAGGGTGAACAAAACTTAAATTTTATATGAAATAAAAATTGTGGCACACAGTCATTTTATAATAAAGGCACAGAATCCCTTTATTAGATTTTCAAAAAGTTGTAAACAAGGACGGACTACTAGCCCTGTTACGAGGTACACATATAACAAGTTTATTGTTCAGTGTAGAACTTAATAAGAAAATTGATAAAAAAAAGAACAAATGGACCAATGCAACTCCTTAAAAGTTAAAATCTTTGGTAAATATTGTAAATGCTTGGTTGTAATGATCAAATTGTTTCAAAGCATCACATAATATCTTTTCATATCACAGAACTTTGTGGTCCTTTCATTTTCTGTAATTAACATTTAAAACCAGACTATTTACATGATGTATGAGACACTATAATGTACAAGACAACAAGACTTGTGAAACTTTGCCATGCAACCAAATATTTCTTTCTTCTTCTCTCAAAATAATTTATATTAGACGTCATTTCCCCACGTCTTAAATAAATTCACATGATAGATTCCATTGTTATCTTTCCTGACACTGACAGCTGTAAGTGTTGTAATCCTCACTGACTTTGTGCTCCATTCCACTGTGCTTGCTGGCTACATATGTGCTTGGATTATGCTTACTTTCCCTTGTCTTTGAAATAATCCGCTGTAAACAAAAATTAATATCTTCAAATGATAATACATGACATACCTGAACTGTCCCTCTATGAATACAGAGATATTTTCAGGGATATTATCTTCACTATACAATATATTAGCACATAAACATGAATATGGAACTTTTCAATTCTTATTCATCATTATAGAAAAATCCTGCAATGTATGTGTGTTTAAATTTTTTTCTAACTACTGTCTTAATATAAAAGGTACTCAGGAGAACCTTGGGTGCATGCTGTGGATCTTACCTAGTTTTTCTGTGGCTTCCACACATACGCTGGGGTACATGTTGTCTGTATATGTTGCCACAAGTAGCAGGGTTGTTGTCTTCACCAGGACAAGACCTTTCCTAGCCTACAAGATGGAAAGAAAGTTACAAATTTATGCTGTCATGCTCAGGATATTTTCTGCAGAGTTCGGTTTCCAGTAAAGTTGGGTCCACATTTCACTGTTGATCTTTCTCTAGCTGAATATGATAAGCCAAACATAGGCAGCAAATCTAATCACCGTGTTGTCTGACACACTGTTAGTCACAATTATTGTAATCAGATGGTGAGCTAAAATGGGACATATCAAGTTATGTCAGCCCAACTTGACCGGGAACACAGCTCATGAACAAAACAATCACCAATTAATACAAATATGTCAGATTGGTTTGCATATACATGCATGCTTATTATTTAACAGTGTTTAATATTAATTGTTTAACATTGGACAGTAAATGCAATTCATTTGCTTATTATATATGACTTAAGTTCTTACACTTTTGGCATATATTGAGTTCTTGTCTGCCCTCACACATTTATACTGCTTGTCTTCAAAGTATAAGCCTTCTTCTCTAGTCTGCGGAGGGTTCTTAAAGGCATCCAGTAGCATCTGAATCTGGTCTGTGTATAACTACATTGAATGGAAGAAAATATGTCCATACATAAGATGTTTCAGGGCTATGTGTTAATCTGTGTATGACACCTAATCATTCACTTCATCTTAATAGTAACTGATACCATTTGTTGATTGGGTTGTAATTTTCCCTAATGAAGGGGTTTTTTAAAATATTTTTTGAATTCCTTTTTTTTTTTTTTGCAATACTTCAAAAGTGAAATAAAAGGGATTCAACCTACCGTGAAGCCTACTGAGCATGCACTAACAGAGCAGTCCTTGCGCCGTACTATTGCACACTGAGCTACATGTGCAGTAGAAATTAGAGCATCATGGAGTAGATTCTGTAGCTGGTTCATCTTCAGAGCATCCTGAAACAGGAAATGTACTGAATAGTTTTTTATTAATAAAATATATAATAAATAATAAAACCAAAGACACTTTCAATTTTAATCTCAATTGGTGGCTTGCAACCTGTTATAAATTCTTGAAAAGAAGAAAAGGTTTCTATGCATATACAGAACATAAACCATAATTTAGGCATCTATTATGGCTCATTCTTTCATCTGTAATAAGAAAAAATGATCTGCTATAAAGGCAATAACTGGTTCTCACAGAGTATTTACTACAATACAATTGTAACTATTATAAGGTATTCTGCTCCACATACATCACATCACAACAAGAACTAATACCATAAAATATAGACTTTCCGCTTCAGCTTCATCCAGCATTTTAGCATCCTGACCTCCTGGTATAAAGGGCGGTGCCTCAAAATGTTCTGCCATTATGATAACTAATGACTGAAGTAATAACACCTGTTTGCCCACTTATTTAACTTTAAAATATTTAAAACATAAATGCAACTCCTACAATGCAGGATAACGCAACTACTGCTGAAGTAAGGCAGCTGAAGGTTTAACACAGCCAGACTACCAGGCCAATACTTCTGTGTAAAATTAGCTGGTTTGTCCTATTTTAATCTAAGCAGTGCCACTTGTGTTGACAGTTGACAAGGAGACACATGCTGCTCAGTATCAGGGACAAAAACAGGAATAATGCAACATTCTTAACCTCTCTCAGCGGGGTGATAAAAATGTAGCATTCCACTGTAATTTACCCGTCCACCGTGAGATTGAGTGAAATTTAATGAGATAAACAGAATGAACCTAGCAACTAAAACCCATACATACAGACAGCTGACTAGTTTCCTATTTCAAAACTACTGATAAACTGAGTTTTTGTATTTGACTCAGCAAATGATCACAGTTTTATCAGCAAGATAAATACCAGGGTATTAAACAAGCTTTTCTGGATTTAGTGAGCATGGAAGATGAAATTTTGGTAAAAATACAGCTATATTAAATGATGATTATTTTTTTTTCAATATAACAGTAATTATACTATAATCATTGTGTGCTCTACTGAAAGTGAAGCTTGTTACTTTGTCATACTTACTGGAACACCTCGCACTTGCAGCAAGGGATCACGGTCCATGCTTAGCTGTGCCATCTTGCAAAAAACAGTTTATAGTTTCATGCAAAAGACAGATTACTAAATTCCATCATAGATAAGATAAGTTGCTGGTTTAAGTTCCACAACTCAAATATGCCCTTTACACATTAACTTGCGCTTTTCTCCAAAATAATGTCTGTCCCTGTTCATAGTAACTCCTCTGGTGGCTCTTATCAAATGGCCAATCTCCGCAAATCAAGACTGCTAAAATCTCAGTCCAGCACCACTTCAAGAATATCACATTCTGACCACAGCGCTTATTAATGATTTCTTTACACAGGCACAGTTTCAATATTGGCATTTGTTTGATAGACTTGAAAAGAACACAACAGATTGATAAATGCATAATACCCTATTATAAACACAAACTACAAAGATCAATTCCATGGCCTTGGCAACAAGACACTGAATTTCTCCTCTGGGATCACAGCAGCAATTGACCCTGATTTAATAGCATAATAGATTATGCAGATGTTATGGCTGCGTACTCTGAATACAAACAAGAGGTTAACTTGTTCAACCTTTGTTTGAATGTTTATAAATTTACAAAATATTGTGATAAAATATTTTCAGAAAGGGCTCATTATTCTAGGGTTTCCATTGAAGAAAAGAATATGTCAGCTATAAAATTCTTATTTACATGTATATAGTGGCCACATTCTGTTTTGTGCTAGACAACTGGACCAAGCTCTGGGTCACATATGGGAGAGGCTGTACAAATAAAAAACCTTATGCAATGTAAAAAGGAACTGGAGCCCCAAAATCAAGTGTGAAATTGGAGATGAATAGTAACCAACTACTGGTCATCAAGGTCCTCTTTGGTCCCAAGACTGGTGGCACCATACCACTAAACTGGCCCAGGGACTACAGCAGAGACTACAGCAGGCAAGGTCCAGCTGAGACCCCCTCTAGATAGTAAACAATTTCATACACAGATATTGCAGTCTATTCGATTCACAACTACTAGTATCCACACCAGCTATCACCAGCCATATAGGTGAGTACCAATAAGAATATGTAACTTTTTTTATCAAGATTCATCATAAAAAAGTATAAATATAACACAAAATATTAATGATTTTTATCTCATAAAAAGATGCAAAACTATATTGCATGGCTTGAGTTTTAAAGCTAGAATGAAGAATTAAATAAAACGCATAATTTTTACCACTGATTTTCTTTTTTTTTTTTAAGCAATTACGTTTAACTCAACACCTTAATTCCATATTAATAATAATTATAATAATCAACTATATCAAAATTTAGAGGCTGAAAGAATTTGAAAAGGCATATCTGCTCTGTTCTTTAACAGATAAAGGTTACTCAGATAAGCTTTTAATCAAGTTACATGCTCAAAATACATACTTTTCAGTACTTGAGACAATCAATTTTGAAGTGCTGAAATGCTTGAATATTAAAATATTGAAATATGGTTGACTATGCCAGTATAATCAAGTAACTATTTACAATATTACTTTTAGTCAGAATTTTTCATAGAATGCCGAATTCTAAAACCACTATAGTTTTAACAGAAAAAAAAAGATTTTTAAAAAAATGTTCCGACCTTATGTAATACATCACATTGTATATTATAACTATACTTTTAATTTCACAGAGAGTAACCCATCAATTTCAGTGAATCAAAAAATCAAAGATAATGTATAGATGTACTCTTTCCCAAGCTTCAGAATTGGTGCATGCCAGCTTCTTCGGTTAATGGGAATCATCTAGAAATAGCTCGAAATCTTAACAAAAGCAAGTGGCATTTTACAGAATTTGGAGGAGAGTGGGGTCAGAAATATTGACAGACTAGCAAGTGTGGTGTGGTAACCAATAGGAGCTGACAGAATTTATCCACAGATTTTGCTGGTTGTTTTCTCTTAAATTCTGTAGAAGTGGTCTTTTGCACAATAGTTTTAATAAATACAATTCCCCCACTTTTGATCTTTTCTAGTCACATAGTGACAACAGCCTCATTTTAGGTTATTTTGGATGCTTTCCATTTTCAAACCTCCCTTATGTTGCATGCTTATAGAATTCATAATGTTCTCGTTAGCTATCAATCAGAAGATTTGTTATTAAGATGTGCCATTTCTCAAAGCTATCAGAAGTTTTTCTTTCCATAGACATGTAGCAAGTGGGTCAGGCCACTTGAAAATTAAAAGCCCCTTAGACTATGCATAAAAAGGAAATTTATTAAACTTTTCAGTTATCTAGAAGAGCAGTAGAGAGAGTTATTGAAATTGTGTATATGCTATGATATAAAACTGCAGCCTACACAAAGATCTCATGCTCTTTTACCTAACACAAATGCTGTGCCTTGCAATTCTTGGCATCCATCACTATCAATAAAAGCAAAGGTGACCATAAACAAAGCAGATATATCAGTATGATTTCAGCCTCTTGCCATTAGAAAGTCATCAGACATGCTGAAAACTTTTTAGAGTGGCCAGACATTTTGATCGGCAGTTATGAAAAATTTGCCGGATCAAATGGATTTTCGTCGGACCGAAAATTACCCTATTCGTTTGAGACAGATACTACCAGTGCGATTAGGTAGCTTACTTTGTTTGTGAATGTGATAGGTTTGAAATGGGGGGAAAAAACGCTTTGGGTTTTATATAATTTTATTAGGGAAGTATGTCAAATGATGACTCTCAAAAGTGTGGCTCTTAAAACTCTTGTTGGTCCTTTGGACCGACCACATCCAATTTTTTACCCGACCAAACAAATTTTCCCGGTCATGACCGATTGGACCAACAGTTTCAGAAAGTCTGAGTCATTCATGCCTGTTTTTACAAAAGATTCCACTTCTGGCAGACTGTTTCAAGGGAGCAGTGTATAATGAGAGCACTTAATACAATTGAACATGGAGGTAGTGATAGGTTAGCACTAGCTTCATGAAAAAGCACTTGAAAATTGTTAACTTTTCTTTCTTATGGCCATGTTCTTACAATAAATCAAATAATCATGATCCTTTCAATCAAGTTCACTATGGAAATTGCACCCAGCCAATCATCTGGATGCTAGGCTAGGCCATATGGGTGTGTGATTTGGTGAACAAATTTGAATACCAGGCTACATAAGTACTTGTTGACGTATAAAATACTTGTAGTTAACAGAGATGGACACCCTGTGTCCCTAATGTATGGCAAGAAACCTGATATAATCTAGATATTGCAGGCCCAATTATTTTTGGAGATATACTCGGACCTTGGTACTGAGGCCATGTCTTGGTATTTTTTAATTGTTTCCCTTTAAAAAAACATGATGACTGCTGAAGAATTATGTATGTGCCCCAGTTGTGAGTAAGACATTGCTGCCCACCTACATGTACTTGTACTGTTGTACATGCACTTAGGCCCAACAAATGCACAAATTTAATTGAACATGCTGGCCTCACTTATCCATTGTTTGGTAATGACTTTGACTGTTAACATGCACTGAAAAAAGCTAAACTTTAAAGCTTAACAACAGGGCTATCTACTTATGATGCTATTCTCACTTGAACAATCTGCCATCCTGCAAGAAACTAGCAATGAAAGCAATAAAATACAGCAAATTCATTTTAACCAAGTCTGATTAAATCTTAAAAAAAAAAGAAAAAGAATTGTCCACCCCACCCCATCCACACACACAAGCACACGCGCACACACACACACACACGTACATGTGCCAGGCTAGGTTGCCAATAGCTGGCCTCTAGATGGTCAAGGAAGAATCATGGTAAACAATGAGAGAATCTTGTTTGCTAACACCATCTAATCACAAACTTTAATATATCACATTCATGGGAAATTGATCAAATAAATGCATAAATGTTCAGTATTTTGCCAGCTGATGTCTGTGTCAAGTACCTAGCTAGAAGTCAGTACATTGTACTGCATGGTAGGGTACAAAAATGTATAAGCAAATGAGAACCTGCACAGAAGTTGCTGGGACATCTTGTCTTAAAAAGATTTTCTCCATATGCTGACATCAAAATTTTATTATTTACATTTTGTATAATAATATTACATCAATTCAGTTATTTTCAAAGTTCATACTGGGAAGTTCATAAATAGATAATAACTATTGAAATTTAAAAAAAAATAGTGGAATTTTTTAATACATGTACACTGCTCTCAGTTCCAGACATACATGTATATTGATTATTCTACAGTTTTTATCACTCGTAGGGGTTATGTGTAAACTTGACAAACTTTTTGATTGATTGAATTTTTCACACATTTCATTTAATTTCATTTTATCAATTCAAAGTATGTATTATTTTCTTTAAATTAATACTACTATACTATCACATGATGTTGATGTTTTGCAAAATCACCTTAGTAAAACAAAGAGGTTTATTGTGAATATATTATATGATGCACTGATTATAAGCTGTGAAATGTGGTTCTCCTCACTCCACAATATGCCCCAAAAATATATTCAGACAATAATAACACTACTTCGCCCAAAAAGCATTATTATACCTGATTAAATTTTGGATCCACTGAACCTTCCCGTTTCCAGCACCTGTGACCCGGAAGTAATACCAATGTAGTTTATAACTAGGCACGGGCTGCTTCGCGGAATAGGGCAAAAAAAAAAAAACGCGTTCGAAACGAAATTATATAATTAAATGACAGAAAACATAATAGATGGAAAAAATTAAAACCCACAATTCGACTTTATTTTAAACGAAGGAAGTATAGATTTATTCCTTGAACGATTATTTGCTTTACAGTGTTGACCTAGCAACGACCCGTGACCTCGTTTGTTTCAAGATGGCTACCGATAAACAGAGGAGTGTTTGCATGCGGTATCATTAGTGATATTGTGTATAGTAATTAATAGTCATTTTATAGGTTTTACACAGTTAAGAAGATTAGTTGAAGAAAAATGACGTCGATGCTGTGTGTGAAAGAGCCCGGTGGCTCCATCGAAGTTCACCATAATGATGTAGTTGAAGAATTGATGATTGATGCAAATGACCACATCAAAACAATGGTTAGTTTGTTATTTTCAGGATAGTTAAAGCATAGTTTACCAGTTTTAATGCATACATTATACAGAGTTATTCTGGCATTGATTTGTTATACATTTATTGTGATTGTTTTGTTTTTCTCTGTTTAATAATGGATATTGAAAGACAGATCTGTCCTTAATATTTTCATAAAAGTAACATTATACATGTACTAGTACTAGTATTGTATGATAATGTATATTTTAATAAATGAAAATTACCGCATTAAAATTTGGTTGGCATAGACCACAAAATTTTATACATACAATTTTTCAGTGTTATAATCATTTGTGATATTTATCATGGGATTTTACAGTGGTTAATATAATTTCATTTTGACTTTATATCTGTGCAAAACCAGTTTATGACGTGATGTTTCCTGTTTTTGTCCATTATTTATTTCCATTTTATTTGATGGTGTGTATTTCATTGCAGCTCACAAGCAAGGCTCATCTTCAAAAGAAATTAGATAGCAGAAGACCCAAATCAACACCCAATCCAACATACAGAGGAAAGGGAGTGGATTCAGATAGTTTAATTGGTCACACGCTCAAACTGCAAGACTGGCTGAGTGAAAAGTCTGTAAAAGAAATTCAGGTTAGTCAATTTTTCTTCGTAACTTTTGTGTATTGTCAAAATGCTTTTTTTCCTGACATGTTTATTGCAGTTTGCAAATGGTAAAATACACTGATTTCCCATCTCATAAAAATTTTTCAGTGTTATAATTATTTATTTGAAAAATGTATAAATCTACATGTAAATATGGTGAAAACGTTGCTGTGTACACTTATACTTTGTGGCCTTGCCACTGAACCCATTGGCACCCATAAAGGTTACTTTCTAAAGCTGCATGTTTGACTTTGTGCTTAAAACCACTTATGGAAAACATTAACACTCCACTCATGACCACTTTAGTTATAGCCATTATCTTACTTTAAACCAAGTTAGCAACTCCAACGAATCTTGACAGAGATATTTAAAGAAGACTTTTTCACATATAAAGTAAGACAGAATTTCCCTTGACTCTATGCATAAGGTGAAAATTGCTAGGGTCATTTTTATTTGTCAAGAGGGAAATAATATTATAATTCTCTCTCCCTCTCTCTTTTATATCTCTCTCTCCCTCATAAGTGCCATGAAATCAGTGGCATGAAATCAGAATATGAATAATTGTAAGTCTTTTTCACTTGATGCACAAATACTGTAACATACAATGGACAAACACCTATAGAACATGCCATCATGACCAAATGTGTAATAAAAAAGATAAGTAAATGTAGAAGTATACGCTGAATACGGTACAACAAACAACTAAATAAGCTTGACATTATGTTCCAAATTATGAACCAAACTATAAGAAATATAAATGACATATACCTGCTGTCAACTCCCTAACAGTTTTGTCCCTCTTCATTGTTCAATCTTTTTTATATTTGATGAAAGGCGATGATGTGCTTTTGTCCTGTAAAAAGTGTGAAGCAGTGGGAATAAGCCCACTGCATAATGCTTGAAAGAGTAAATAAGAATAAATTGGAAATACACTTCCAAGGAAAGAGTAGAAAATACTGTCTTCAGTTTACCATCCGTATACATTATAACAGATTAAATAACATCTGTTTCTCAGTACTATTTCCTTAGCAATGGCATGTGAATATAATGCTTCAACTAGAAGCAACCCATCGATAGAATTGTACAGTTTCTGGCAACAGTGCTTGAGTTGTTGAAAAGCCACTCATTCAAATTAATGTTTGCTTACTCTTATCAAGAAGTGATCAATACCCATTTGAAAGATATCCTGGCTTTTAGTAAAAGCACCAGCACTGATTTCAGATTGAGAATGATTAGATATACACGTGGTCAGTTTTCAAATCGGGGAGAACAGAAGAGAAAAGGAACTAAAACTTTGTGAAATAAATTAGTAAATTTAAGATGTTTTTTAGGGGGGATAATTATAAAAAAGACAAGAAGTTATTTGTAATCACACATTTTTACTTTTTTTACTACCAAAAAATTCTAACTTTATAAAGCAACATCTTTTAAAAAGAATTCTCCCCACAATATATTGTGACATCAGACTGGTACACATATCCTTAGCAACAAGCCAGGGATGAAGAGATACTGTGAATGCTCATTTGCAATCTAGGTTGCAGATTGAATAGAATAGTGGAGCAACGCATAGTTCTGCAACTCATAATACCTCAGAAAATGTTTAATTCAACTTTTAACATGGAAACAATCTTGGAGCAAAAGGCAGAAGAGAGGAGTCAAAAGCAGAAAAAATCAAAGAAGACAAAACGCTATGACACATTTGTGAAATATTTGGTACTTTTCAATTGCACGTTCTCAAGTGAACTGTTTTTACACTGTAGAATAAGTGAAGTTTTTACTGTATAGTTATATAATTTATCTAATTTTGATATTTCTATTTCCAGGAAAGAGCAGATATAGAAGCTAGAGACACAAAGAAAATGTATAATTCAGTATTAGATGTAGAAGACAACTTTGTAAAAGTAAGTAAAATTGTTTCACTTCAGATCTATTTCTTCATTCTGAACTCATCAACCAATTTATTAGTGATTTGTATACATGTAGATCCATTACTAAATTAATGTGCTCTGAATAAAATATTTTCAACTGATATATCAGTAAATGAAAAGTTCTGTCAGCCTGTTTAAAATGAAAGATGCTCTATAATTTTGTCAATAGTTACTGTTGGTTTAATTGAACACCAAGTCAATGTACACAGAGCCCTAATGTGAATCAATACATCACAGTGCATCAGTTGTAGTCATTCTAAACACTGCTTCTGAGTTTAATTTACTACTTTTGTTATTTGTCATTAAAATCAATTCGTGATAAACAGAATGTCAGTCTATCGTAGTGAATCCAAAATCACTATTGTTGTGTGGGTACAAATAATGCAGAAGGCTTAAGTTTCCATACAGACACGAAGAGCGCTTAAACCCATTCATAATTGCAAATATTTTTCTAGGACATAGATGCATTTTTGGCAGCTAAAGAAGTTCATGATCTCCGCAAAAAGGAAATTTTACACAAAAAATGGAATGACCAGGTCCATGAGCCAATAAGAAAGGAAGTTATAAAGGAGATGGGTGGACCTGCTTATAAGCAACTTGATCGCAGAAAGAGACAGATTTACAAAGAATATTTAGAATTTACAAACCAGAAGGTAATTTTGACATGTTTGATTTTTGAATATTTCTTCCAATACGAAAACCAACAATTTTGTATAATTAAGCTTTTATGTTTCTTGTAATTTTTTAAAAACTTAATTTTTTTTTTTAACTTATTAGTGCTGGCTATGTATGGAAATGATTTATACAATACCATTATTTTTCTTTTTCAGGGTCATGTCTTCCTTGATACAGTGGATCCTGCTGAGTATTGTCCACTTGGTTTACATGTTAACAGACCCCTGGGCACAAGAGTAAGTGTTCTATGAGATTTACTTACTGAACCGTTGCCATAAAAATCATTCAGGAACTTTTGGATATTTAAAATTAATAAAAAAAAAATGCTCGAATAATTTTTTTCAGTTACGAATATAAATTCATGTAATTTTTTTATTGCTTTGCTGTTCTTCTGTATTAAAGTCATGTATAAATAAACTGTCATTTTTCTTGATAAAAACTCAATATTACACTTTAAACCACGTTCATTGTCTTCTTCAGGGTATTCATGCAGAGACAAAACCACTGAGAGATCCCCTTCTCTCTCAAGCCAAAGAACGGGCAGAAGAGGACAGAACGATACTCAGATGTACCACAGGCATCACATACACAGATAAAGATATAGAAAAGATAAAACTCCCACCCTTGCCCCTGGTTCCATTAGGGCGCCATGGAACTGAATGTAAGACATGGCTTGCCATGCCAATGCACGACATTGAAAGTCCAGTTAGAAAGGCCAGCAGGTAAGAATTTTATGTAATTTAATTACACATCATATGCCCAGAAAGTCTCATATAATTACAACATTTACTTGTGACTTTTATAGTATGTGATAAAAGGTACATGAAGAAGACTGCTTAATGTGAAGTTGGTATTATTGTCCAAAATATTAAAGATTACGTAATATTTCCTACATAATCAATCTAAGAAAACAATATTATTACTCATTCTTTTGAATCTCTGAAGCCTTCTGAGACTATTAGTGTGCTTGTTGGCTGCAAGGTAAAAATATTAATTACCAGTGCACTAAAGCTTATCCAACGTATCACACTGTGCACTAAAACCTATCCATCTTATATTTCAAATCATCACATTCCCTCCAATAGATACTGTACCATTTTTATTTCCCTCTTATGCCTCATTTTCATGCACTTAAATGACTTGTTTTGCTATGAGAATATATTGCAGTCATAATGCTTTCCTGAAGAATTACTGTATCAGTATTTTACAACAGTTAAAACAAAATTTGATATATATTTAGACAGCAACAGCATCATTTGTATTTGTAAAGACTATTTATTTAAATAATTAACAATGTGTAATTTCCGAAGATGTAGAGAGAGAGAAGTAAATGTGAAAATGTTGATTTCAACAAGTATTAGTGAATTCTCTCTTCACCAGATGATAAACAGTTTGTTACATTTCCTTGCAGAGGTCGGATGAGAGGTGATTACAACCACAGTCAGTTCAACTTTGCTCAGTGGGCCAAAATGCCCTTCCACCCAGCTATTGTTGATGAAGAGCTACAGAGTCAGCGGAAACGTCTTTACACTGTTCACCCACCATATACTCTGGAACAAACAGATATACTTGTGGAGTCCCCGGCAAGGCTCACTTTGCCTCCAAACAAACTTGCCTGTTCTGTGTAGTCCATTTTTAACACTGAAGCACAAAACCCACAGCAAAAAAAAATCTCTAAGTCTCTGCTGGAATGTGTTATTACTTTGAACTTATTTTCATGTGTTCAGCTACAGCAAAAATGTGACAATTTCATTCTCTGCAATTTTTCATTAGTCTTTATATGTCATTTATCATTCTCTGAATACTGTGATACAGAAGTCATGTTAAAAAGAGCTTTTTATGGATATTTTTACATGGTGATCTAAGTCTATGTGCAACCATGCTTGGTATCTATATATTTTGTATTTATTGGTCATTCTTTTTGAGAACCGCAGCAGAGCTGTTGTTATTCCTTGTCCAGCTGAAAGGCCAATGATTAATATAGGTAGACCAAGTGTTCTAGGGTTTGGGACGTCCAAACCAGCAAATGATCACAGTAATAACTGATGCTTCTATGTGGTTTTAAGGTCGTTAAATTTTTTATACTTATGTCAGAGTTTCATCATTACAAAGCCTTCCATCTAGTGCCATCTTGCTAATGCAAGAAAAAAATAAAGATTGACATCAGCAGAAATGTTGTACATGAAACTTTTCTTATTCCAAATTACTTCGATTCCATTGTTTAACACTTACATGCTGTTCTGTTGTTAATGATTTGTTAGAAAACTTTACAAGGAAAATGTGGATTAAATTTTAATTGGCACTAGATTTTGTCTGGCTTACCACCATGTGTATGCTCATAAAGGGTGCCTTTCAAACGATTATTGCTCATATCGTTTCAGGTGAAACATATATGTAATGTACCCAGTTTGAATTTTGATAAAACTTTTTGTATATATGTAAAATCTGCTATCACTGTTGTTAGTATTTATTGGACCATCTATACTTGGTAGTATAAAATTTTAAAAAAATAAGAATTTCTAATGATAACTGACTCAGTCCATTCAACGGTGCAAACAAAACCCAGCAATAAAACAAACACAAATCTTGGTGGCACAACATTTAAGCGCTATTTATTTGCCTTAATACAACTACATTTTAAAAAGTTACAAAGTAATGCGTTCAAGAAAAACTGATCGTAAGGCTCATCTTCCTGATTCTTGAATTGTTCTAAAGATGATATATTTAAAGCATTATAATGCGGATCAGTTATTTATTTCTTCAGGAGGGCAGACATTCACAACAACCATGAACAACATAAACACTGCAAATATGTTTGATACTGATACAGCAATATAATACAATATTAGTGTAATATTACTATGACAATACTGGAAAGTATCAAATAATTTTACACAATAATTAAGACATAATACATGTATAAGTCTACACATTGTCATTATTAGCAAAGTAATAAATTCAGAAAAGTTAATGCTGAACCAATTTACAGTATATAAAATTACTCCAGTAACATTTGGGCATAGCTTGAGTTCTGTTACATAGCCACTGACACAAAAATGCTTCTCTAAAAATTTGAACCCTAACTAATTTGAAACAACTAAAGTACAGATCAGCTATACTAACTTTTAAGTGTCAGAGGCTACAAAACAAAGATCAAACTTTGTCCAAACATAATAACCACTGCCCATGACTTTACGGTTTCAGTAATTTTGCATGTATTTCAGCCTGTCCATCTACATGTGCCTGTCCTATTGTTCAATACAAAAACCAGGGCATTGAACTCCAAACATATATACCCTTAATATAATATGTGCACTGAGTTACAATACATCATGGCTTTTTTTTTTTTTTTTGTCCCATATGTGTGAATGGGCAGCTTGCATACACCTACATTTTAGTGTGCATGAAAAGGTTCACCAAATCAGGGCAAAAACAAGCTCAGCACTTGTGCTGTGTTTTATGGGCACATTTGGGATGAAGAAAGACAAGATATGTTAGCGTTGTTACTCAGTGCACATGTCATTTTAGGTGTGTTGTATGTAAAAGAGACAAAATACCAGAAATATCACTGAACTCAATGTGCCGCATTCTTGGGGGTTCAAACCCCTTGAAAAATATGTTTGAAAGTGCCAAGTGCATTTTTAACTTGTGAAATGGGCTTGGTTCAAAATGATAAAATTTCAAAAGGGACCAGGAATCTAGATGACAATCCAGAAATTTTACACTGACAGTTGTTAGATGCTAAACAGGTCCTTATTTAAAAGGTTCTAGACATGGTTATAATCCGTTCATTGCAGTCGAGTAGTTCATTTTAAGCTGCTCTAAAGAACTATCAGTCTAAATTTGTCTGGATTATAATCAGGGTTTTTATGAAACACGAAGCACTATTTTCAGTCATTTTGCTACAAGAAAAAAAGATGAACAGACAGAAAAACAAAACTTTGAACTGAAAATATAAATTCCTTGGCAGTGGCATCCAAAGCAACTTCACTCATTTAAGACCCCGTTTCCAGAGATTAGATTGATCTACTTTAGATCGACCTAACTCCCTGGGGGTTCATGCTAAATAGCTGTCAGCCGAGCGGACACCAAAGTTAAATTACCCCCTTACAGCTTGTAGTAGGGGGGACGGACATTTAAGCCGGATTATCTGACAGTAGTCTTGTGAGACTCCCCACAGGGATAGATCGATCTAAAAGCTCTGGGAATACAGCCTAAGACTTGAAAAGCAGGAAACCTCACAAACCACTTTAAAAATCTGACCCATGCATATAAGCAAAAAAAGAAAAAATTCTAAGGCTCTTAGCTCATTTAAAATGTAAATTTTTTAAAGTAATGCCTTTATGTATACCAATTACAGCTCTTCAGGTCACTGTTTCACACACACACAAAAAAAATATTATGTCGGCTTCCGTGGCTAAAAACTTGGCTACCAACTGTACATGGTCACATGCACACACCTTACCCTATCAGGAACAGTGTTACAGCACTCTCATGGAAATCCTATAATGAACTAATTAAGCCAGTGAAGTGATTTAATTTTTGTGTGTGTGTGTGAAAGTGGGGCCAGCACATATATTTGATGATAATAAATTTCAAAACTTGATTTTGTCAGATGTGCTCACTTGAAGACTTAGTCTTAATGAGGAGCTCTATTTGTTTCATGACTCCTTTTAATTAATATAAGATTACCTTTACGCATAATGCTAAGAATATAATGAAAAAAGTATGGGCTAAAAAGATTTTAAACCAAACTTTCAACAAAGTATTTTTATCATAGTTGATACGTAAGTTACAAATAGTCCAGTGATTAACCATGGAATTATGCATGATTTTCTTAACAACTTCATTTAGTTGCGTTGCTTAGAAACTTTCCTCTGAAGAACCATTTGGGACTAGTTCTCCAGTAACATCTTCTTCAACCTGTTTGCCTTTTCCACCTAAATATGAGTATAGAAAGCTGGTATGTAAGTTTACTACTTACTGATGAAAAATATTTCAAAAAGATTTCAGACAATGTCAAACAAAAAAAAAAAAAAAATGCCAAAACACCCTGAATGATAAAGATAAAAAGTACAGATGGCATTAGTATGTTAACGAAATATGCCAGCTTTTTTTACTACAGATTATTGTAATTCACATATCAACTAATGGCCTCAGGTGATAATCATGCATCTGTCTCTTCGATAGAAGCAAAAATATTGGGTCAAAGATACTGAGGCGCTCTCATGCAGGAAATAAAAAACATTTTTACACAATGATAAAATTAACTTAAAATTACCTTTGACAAAGAGATATCTTTTTTTGGCAAGTACAACCACTGTGATGACCACACTTATAACACAAAAGGCCAGTACCCCCAGTACTATGATGACTATGCTCCACACAGGCATTTTGACATACATTTCCCCCTCTGGGATTTTGGGCTTGGGAGGGGGCTTTTGTTCTGTAAGATAATATCAAAATAAACATAGTATATAAAATAGTATTTATAAGATCATTATCCAACATTTAGGAGACTTAAGTCTGTATGCAGCCAAAGTTTGAAAAGCGAAGACCCATCCCTCCCTCCACCCAGGTTAAAAGCTCCTTCCCTGATGGATAACCTTTTATTTGTCAAACAAAAATAAGACATTATTCTAGACAAGACCATGTACCTACAGGTCTAGCACTTAATATTTTTATAAAGTAACATTCCCTATGCAAGGGGATCAATTTATTGTCCTTAATTCTTATTCTTTTACTTATTTCTTCTGTTAAAATCAAAACATTTATTGCAAAGAAAATATAATTAAAACAAGGTTAGTTTTTTACAGGCACCGACTTGCTTGGTCAGATACATTAATAAAATACACATGTGACATGGTATTCTATTACAGTATTGGAAAAAATTTAATGTAATTTGATTACTTATATTATAATTATGGTATTAAATGATATATATTCTAAAATATGTTTTTATTAAACTACCTGCACAACTGTCACTTTGGCATAATTTTGCTGATACTGGATCCTTGGCAGCCCAGTAACACAGGTAAGAACAGTCCATACAAGTTCTAGCACCACTTTCATAAGCCTGGCCCTGAGGACACCGTGTGTCCAACTGACCATTACCTTGTGTTACACGCAGCAACAAATAACACAAGAGTATTGCAGATCCTTGATGAATTTTAGCCATATCTGCAATGTTCAAAGATAAGCTGTATTAAGTAAACAATACAATTTTTTTAAAAATTTAACATCAGGAAAAGGCATTCATAGCATTTCTTATCCTCACTGAATAATACAACAGGTCTTTCAGTAAAGGATATGATGGCTGAGACTTGCAGACATGCCATGTCCCTTCTCTTAATTCTTCTTGTCTGAAAAAAAGTGGTGGGGGTAGAGGGTTTAAAGTTACAAAGTTTAAGATTTTGAGGAATTTCAATTTTTCCTATACTGAGACAGAGACTCACAGAGTTACGGTGAGTGTGAAAAAAGGTGGATCACATCATGGTAAGTCACAGAAAAATATTGTTTACCCTTAGAAAATTCAAGTATTATTTTTTTCATGGGAAAAAATCAAACACTATGGATAATAAATGTAATCTGCTACATGTATATAATATTTGTGAACAACTGGTTTCAGGGAAAGCAGTCAAATCTGGGACACCTGCCACAGTTGCAAGACGATCCAATTTAACTTCAAATAATGCCAAACTAACATGAAGACTTTCCATAACTCCCTAAATTATAAATGTGACATCTAATCATCTCATCAAAAATCGGCACTGTGTTTGAAGGCTTACCCACTTTTGGGGCTCTAGCAGACATGGAAGTTGATTTTATAAAAAGACAAAATTGCTTCTCTGGTCTACCTGTTTATGTAAATGTTCCAGTACAAGTGCATGTAGCTGGCTGGATTGAGAATTCATAATATTCATGGATTCTGAGACCTCAAAGGCCTTTTGTTCTTAAAAAGGTGCATTCATTGTGTATCTCTATATTAAACCTACTCAACTTTGAAGTTTGACGTACAATTACTTACTTTTACCTGCAGAACAAATGTAACAATTTAAATTAATAGTCCTGAAGAGTCTTGGATCTATTTCAAATTACTCTTACAGTACCTGTACAAGTAGATTTACTGCTGCGCATTAAGTAGATGGTTAAAAATTTTATGAGTCAGGGGGATTTTTGCAGATGGTTATTTTTATCAACACTGGAAATTACCATGGTGGGGAATTTACCCATATTATCGTGGGTTGATTTGAAAAATGAAATAAAATGTCACTTTTACGTGTACGCTAGAATCCAACATAGGATGTTTTGAGCATTGTCCCTGCACCTCAACTATATTAGACCGGTACTTCACTTAGAAGTTTTTCGTTGTTTTCACAATAAATATCAGGCCCGTCTAAATATTATGAGAGCAGAGACCAATATTTGTCAGACTCACATAGTGAGTCACAGTCACATGAGAACTGGCACCACTGAACCGACACTAATTTATTTATGCTCAAACTCAGAGGCTTCATTTTACCTTTAGATCTAACTCTCTTTACTGATAGTCACTGCTACTATCAAGACATTGTCTTCTTCTTTTACTTAGATTTACATGTCGATAATTTAGGGCAAATTATCAACCCAGTGTTATCAACCTAATTACTTCCTGTCTTCTTAACCTCCATATGCCTCTCCATGCCTCGCTCTCAAAGAACCAATCAAAAGTAGAGAAATCTTCAGTGCGGTCCTTTGTAGTCACTCAGTTTCTATGATAAACAATATTTTGCAAAATGCCAAGTATGCCTGTAAAATTGTCTGTATATGGACTGTTAAATGACTTAACATTCCATGTTTCAAAATGCTGTGCAGAGGTAAGTTTTAGATAACTTCATATGGCATATTCAAATCTACAATAGAAGCCTACAGGGATTTGTACAAAAAAAAAAAAAAAAAAAAAAAGAATAAATAGTCTGACCCAGTGTAAGGTGTTGTAAATGTTATGACTATGTGATATTGAGGGTATAGCAGTTTCGGCAGTTTTCTGTGCGTTTATATTGTATAAGAACCATGTCTAATTATTTTGGTTGTAAATTGACCTATTTACTACAGGGGCGGATCCAGAGATATTTTCTGACAGTCTTCCAAATTATCTTTGTTGATCCATCCTCATTTTTGACCGTCTTCCGACAGAAAAAGTTAGATACCCGTCTATGTAAACTTGAAAATCTGACCGTCTTCCGGAAGACCCAGAAGACGGCCTAAATCCGCCCCTGTACTAGTATCTGGCCTTCCAGTTAATAAAGGTTCATTTAATAACTTTGTGTGCATTGCATAATCATCACTCTTGCTCCCATGTATGGATGTACTAGTATACATGTAGCTGCATGTCCAATTGCATACTTATTCAAATGAGACTGCTGAGGAATAATTATAGCACAGAAAGAAAGCAGAAAAATCTGTTTGTATATAAATTTTCTGAATATATGAAATGATGTCCTTCAGTACTGTATTTCTCTATGTTATACTATTGAATTTATATGGTGGCATTTGCTTGGGTATTGAAGCAAAATTTTGACTATTTAAATGCATCTTTATATGAAATAAATAATGATAATCAATGATTATAATAACCCTTAATACCTTTAAATTGTAACTTTGTTGTGATATTTGTAACTTTTTTTTATTTATGTGTGCATATTTTCAGGACTTATATAAGAAGGACCCCAGGACATTCAATGAGCCAGAAATTGTTGGCATGTTAGAATTTGATTGGGATATGTTTATTGATGAAAAAAGAAAGGTATAACATATTAAGCAAAAGATATGCTTTAATAAAAATTAAGTTTTATAATAAGTACATGTCTATCGATCCTTTTCTATTTAAATTTGTATTTTGCCAGTAATATTACCATAAGTAAAGGGTAACAAAGTTTTTTTCCTACTATGTTTACTCTCCCATTTCTACTCATTACTCAAAGATTAATTATAATATTTTTTATATAGTGATTAGATTTTAATTTGTAGAATACAGTAGTTCAGATATCCTTTGGTTATTTTTAAGGAACTTGGAGGTGAAACCTGGGTATTCAGTGACAAAGCTATAGCATTTGGCAACAATGAACTTATTGGAGGACCCATAGACTTCATTGAGTGGGCTCGGGTTCACTACAACTATGAGGACTTCAGGGCCGAAGCTCTCTATGAAGCAATCACAGAGCAAGCATACAAGGGACACCTCAATGCTAGAAATGTAAATAAACAAGAAATTAATTTAAAAAGAAATCAAGTACAAAACCATTTACATTAAAAGTCAAAGTAATTGGTATTCTGGCACCAAACCATATAACTACTCTGTAGGTGCCACAAGTAACTTGTGCAATGTAACTTACATGAGAACTTTTAATTAAGGTAAATGAAAACAAGTACTTTCAGCAGGTTTTTACACTTTTGTTTTATTTTAGCGCAAGTATGTGTACATGGATATTACTATTGATGAAGAGCCTGCAGGAAGATTGCTTATAGAGGTAATTATGGTGATTTGCTTGCTTATTAATACCATGAAAGTACAAAGTATAGACCACCCATTCCTTTATAAATAGCATAGTATTACATTCTTCCAGTAACAATTTGTTATTCAAGAATTAACTTATTTCTAAACACTAAATACATTGTCATATTGTTATTTAGCTGTTCACAGATATCGTGCCCAAGACGTGTGAGAACTTCAGAGCACTTTGTACAGGAGAGAAAGGAACATCAGAAAAATCAGAACAGAAACTTCATTATGAATCCATTTTGTTTCACAGGATAGTGAGAAATGGGTGGATTCAGGGTGGAGGTGAGTTTTCTTATTTCTTCGGAACCATCGTTTTTTTTTTTTTTGCTATTAAAATACAAGATGGCATTTTTAAATATTTATGAATATAGTAACTGCTTTGATGTTGGTCCTGGGGGGAGGGGGGGGGAAGGTAGAGGTACATGTAGGAGTACTGGTCCATGTAGCAAATCAAAGCCTGTGCTTTATCGGTTTGTACAGGTAAGATTTTAATATATTTTAATTAGAATAACTTAAATTAACAATGAATTTGAAATGCATTGGCTTGTTTACAGTAACTTAATGGTGCATTTTCCATTTTACAGATATCTGGAAACCTTGCTCAGGTGATGGTGGAGAATCAATATATGGAGACGTATTTGAAGGTACATAATCGTAGTTGTTCATTCATAAAGATCGCCATTATTACATAGACTTTGCTTGCAAGAATTAACAAAACGATGTACTATTTAGAAGAAAATATTACAATTTTTTGTTTATAAAGTGAAGTACAGTGTTGTACATACCAGTAGAGTTACTTTATTTTAATCACAATTGTTGCATTAATACATATCTCACCTTTGTGAAGTGGTAATTTTTGAATTTCTGTATATATAACCAGATGAGAACTTTGCTGTATCCCATTCCAAGCGTGGCATGGTAGGAATGGCAAACAAGGGTCGACACACAAATGGCTCACAGTTCTACATCACATTACAACCAGCAAAATGGATGGATACCAAATATGTGGCCTTTGGGTGAGTTGGTTAATTATCAGATAAGAGAGAAAAATGTAAGAATAACTGGAAACTTTGAAGCCTTTCAACTTTCAAGCATTTGATTGAATCTTTCTGAGTAATGAACTCTTAATTTTTCATATTTTGTCAATTGGATTGGCAGATCAGTTTTTTTTTTTTTTTTTTGCTGTAAGTCTATTCCAATTATTTTTCATATTTTGAATTACTATATTATATAACACTGAACACTGACTGTTGTATTTGTTTTTAGTCAAGTCATAGAAGGCACAGAGACACTTAAAAAGATGGAGGCAGAAGAAACCATGAATGAGAGACCAATGAAGGAAATCAAGATCGCACACTGTAATGAAGTTACATTTGAGTTTTAGATACTGTTCTTGGATGGACATCCTTCAAACTCTGTGATACTGACAATAAATAGACCAGCTGTTCAAGATGACATGTTTATGAAAAAATATTGACTGTAATTCCTGTGTTCTTGTTCAAAGATAGGCTTACATTCAACTGTGAAAATGTTAGCGTAATTCTCACATAGTTCAATTTTTTTATACGAGTGGACAATATTGTCTGGACCTTTTATTAATTTTTTTCTTTAATTAAGCTGTGTAGAATTGGTGGTTCTTCACTTTGTGTATATGTATCATTGTATGTGAGAGAGAAAGAGAGGGAGGAGACAAATTTTCTTGGACACATTCATGTATATACAACAGATCTTGTACAATTTTGATACAGAATAAAATTACTTGTTATTTAACCATTTACATTTTGACTATTGCAAGTAATGGGGTTTCATTCTAGTATATGTTTTCATATGCATGGATGTAGAACAAGTGAAACAATATTAACAGCATATGGGTTTGTGATACACATGCATTTAGCATAAAAAAGTGACGTAAATATTTTGATATTAATATTAATATTAAAATAGGCAGAGAAAACCCATCTTTAGCATTCTGTCAATTAAGTGTTTTTAAGTTTAAAAAAATGTCTGTATCATAAATGAAAATGACAACAAAAAACTGCTTCTACTGGTAAAAACAGGAATCATGTTTGCAATACGTGACATTTGTTGTAGGAAAAAATAACAATTCCATGTACAGTAAGGTGTCTCAAACAAAACATGAATACTAGCTGGTACACAGGGTGTATACGTATACTGGTAAGAATAAGCACAGAAATGAATATATCAGAGGTGAAAGCTAAAAAGGAAGTATTGCTAAGAATCAGTGCATTTGGACTTATTCTAGTTCTAAATGAATAATGTTATGTATATATAAAAAATAATGTTACATTAAAAGTGTAATCAATATGCATCCAGATCATCAGTGTAAGGCTATAAATACATAATTTCTGCTCCCTCTGAGATTTGGGATTAAGGTGGAATTGGATTTCTTACCAAACACATCCTTTGTATTTCTGAGATGATTTCAGAAATACCCCTGTTATGTAATGTATTCATTAATAACATTATTAAATACATGTAAGTCCCTACTCTAGTAATTACTGAGGAAAAAAACACGTTGGGGCATTTGATTGGGTGAGACCCCCCCCCCCCCCCCTTCCCAGCTTTAACCATGTTACGAAACAAGGAAAGTTCATCCGTCTTTAAATATTGTATTTTTTATATTAGGTAAGCTGCGCCTAGATTCCTCATGATGGCACGCTGTTAGCATGCTTATCTAACTTGACCTGACCACGAGGTCAGTTCGAGGTCGCCAGCGTGGGTTGTCATGTGACGCGCCCTCTATCGTTCCAGTTATTGTTACAACATTATTTCGTTCGACAACAGGTACCGGGAAAAGAAAGAAAATGGGGCAAAAAGACACCATGTTGATTATTCTTTCGTTGTTTATGGTGATGAGCTCACATATTGTCTTCAGCCAAGGTAAATGTCAAAACCATGTACTAAGTTGTTAACACTTAACGCAATGATTTCGATTGACACGTCAACCATGTAAACACGCACTTGCGATTTACACCAATTTACGGTTAGCTGAAAAAATAATGCGTCATAGTCATGTGCTGACACAGAAAACATGCGGTCATTGTAATCCTTGATGTTCATATTTTTAACAGTGTGAGGTTTAACGCCTGGCATGTTTTAACACAGTTTTAAGTCTCAAATTTCCAATTTTGGAGCAGAAGCAGATTTTATATTTACAATTGATATACAGTGTATTTGATGCCAAGGCTAATTAAATTTCCATTTTGATNAATTTTATAGGATCTATGAACAATATTTCTTTTACATGTAGTCACCCACTTTATTTGTTGACTCTGTATCTAGCGTGTAGAATGAATATGTTCTTGGTAAATGAAGACATGAATATTAGTAAAGCCACCTCAAGTTTTACTTCAAATGGCCAGGATGAATTTCTATCTTCTTTGAATTTTATGCATCATAGCCAGATCTTATACAGTGAATATACCTAGTGTTAATTTTCCCAGCAATCGTTGTTTCAATCCTTTCATGTTGCTGTCTCTAAAGAGGTATAAACAGTAATGACTCTATCTTTTCAATGGGGAAAAATTGTCTATATAGCGTTTGTGGTGCTTTTATTGAATACAATACAATAGCCTGCTTTTAAAATCTGTTGCTTCCACTTAATAGGAATATATATATATATATATATATATATATATATATATATATATATATATATATATATATATATATTTATATATATATTTTTTTTTCACAATTCTTCCCATTGTAAAGATCAAGTAATTACCTTACCAAAAGGCTCTCTGTTTTATAAATTAAGCTGACAGTGAAACTTTATTTTTCTTTTTAATTCTTAGATTAATACATTTTAATATATATCAAGTTACTTAACTACAAGTACATATAATTTTTTTTCTTTCTAGGTACTGGTAATGATGAGGATGTCACTGCAGGTAAGTACTAAGGTTGGAACTGCTCGTCCTCAAAAAACATTCAATATTGGCATTTACTTAAACCAGCCTTGTTCAACCCCATTGCATCAATTTTTCCTTTGACTTTTTCTGGGTTATGAAAATATTGTCATCAGACAAAACACATGTACAACTAACTTGTGGACTTGTGNCTACCTTACAATGAACTTAACTTTGATTGCACCATTTTTAGTTATATATATTTTTTGCATATTTTGAAAATTCTTGTTGATTGCATTTTTACAGCTTGTCAAGCACAAGACTGGTGGCTGCACCCCTTATTTTGTGTATGTGGGGGTCTATACGAATGCGCTTGCTCCAGCTGGTGGTACAATATTCGGAGGCGGTATCGCCTCTCTGATCCTCTAGTTTCTTTCTATTTCTGTTGCAGTTTATGCTGCTAATGGTACTGATGTCGTTCCAAGCATGTCCGCTACAGCTACCATGTCTACTGTGTCAACTTCCACAATATCTATAACCCCAACATCTACTGCAACTTCTTCACCGACATCCACTGCAACTGCTTCATCGACAGCCACTAAAACTTCTTCCTCGATGTCACCAGAACCAACGTCAACACCTACAACACCGTCAACGTCAACACCCCCGACTACGGTCACTGCCTCAGTCACAGCTACTACTGGTACAACCCCCAAACCGACTCCCACAAAAGGAGGAGGAGGAGGCCAGCATTTTGATGCAGCCTCCTTTATTGGTGGAATAGTCCTCACTACTGGCCTATTTGTACTGGGCTTCTTTGGCTGCAAGTTTTACAAGTCAAGGGTGGAGAGGAACTATCATACGTTATAGGTTGTGTTTGTTTTCTCTGCTCTATCACAAGTTTTGTTTCAAATTTAATTCACTTCACCTTTGAACTGGTTGTCAGAATTCTGAATTTTAAGTTCTTTTCTTTCTGATTGAACTGATCAAAGGATTAATTTCTACTGGATAGTTTTGATTGAACAGCTGTTCTCAAGAGTCTAATTGTACTTATGAAAGGTTGCTCATTGTTAAGGTGCCTTAATTAAAATTGATCCAAAAATTGTATTTCTCTTTCAAGTTTTTTGGAAATGTTAACTGTTTCTTTGTCTGTTTGAAACCCACAGTAAGAGTAAAGGGCAAGAATAGAGCTGCTGTCTGCACTTGGCACCAATATTTGGATGGGCAGAGATTGGTCACATTTTTTTTTTTTTAAGTACACTGATAATGTTAAAGCAGTCATTATGCAACAAAATCTTCAAAATTAACAATTGTGAATTGTTAGAATTCCATTTGTTGTTTAAACATTGATTTCTGAGACTAACTTTGCTTCAAATCAAGCCAATTAATATATATTAATTGTTCTTATTACTCATGATCAGCTTATCTATTTCCTTTGCAAATATTTGTTCAAACCTCTACAATTTACTGTCTCCTGTTGCTATTATAATCATTTCCTTATGTAGCATGTTTCTTTTTTATTGTTGTTTTGTACAAGATGTTTTTTTTTTTTTTTTTTTTTTTTTTTTTTTTTCGTGCAGAACATTGAATTATTTCACCTCTCTTTGTTGTTCTGACCAGTTATACTGGACCGACCTAGTATTTATAAATGAATAATAAGGCTAAACCAGTCTTTGTACCCTTGGTTGTGTTTTTCATTAATGATATGGTGCCATTCTGCTACTGGACAGAAGAATTTTGAATGAACAGAAGGTTTCATTTTTTGATGAAAGGATGTAAGAAGCTGCAGGTGAATTGGTTAATGATTAGGTAGGTGGGTCAGGAAAGTCTTAATCTTACTGGCCTGGAGTGCTTGTCTTAAATGGCCTAAGTGTGGTATGTTGTGTACTTGAGAATAGATAAAATTACCAGATTTCATGTCAAATCAAGGGATTATATAATTCCTTAGTCAAATAAAGCTTGAATGTAAAAGCAATCCATTTATTACTTTCATTGCAATTTAAGTTTTTATTTATCTTGCAGAACATGGTAAAGAGGTTTCTGTGCAAAATGGATAAAGTACTGTTTCTAGGGGTAATGATATGACACATCAAAAATGCAAGCTTTAAAATTGATGGCTGGTACATTTACTATATAGCTATAACCCAGTTAAAATCCACAAGTACTGGGGTTATTCTAAAACTGATATGTATCATTACTCCTGATTTGATTTTTCTGATTACGTGGTCTTTATGTTGCCTCTCATGTGAATGTTTTGTTTAGTTTATATGTTGTACAAGATTTGCAGTAAGTCTGTTAAACATTTTGTTAAATTGTTTTTGTTGTTTCATTTTATATTTCACATCTTGGTTGAACCATGGCAAAAAGCTGAAATTGTGGTTCCTATTACAGAGATCTGCTATTTTTGGTTTTTGTTGTGTTGTACTAAAAGGTAAAGCCAAATATTTTATGAAAATCTAGCTTACTATATAGAAGAGATTTTGCTGTTTATTCCAATAATGTTGTATCTCTCCGTGGTGTTGAGAAGCTTTTCAGTGCCCCACATGACCGTGCACTTGACAGTATCTGGACATATTAGTGATGGCACAAAATAAAAGCAGTGAATAAAATAAAACTTACTGTAAGAAAGATACTTCTTTTAAAGGTCCAAGCTGTTGTACACACATATTTTTCATTATCATCAAAGTTCTTCAGTTTCCTCCTAAAGGTCTCCTGTGCTTATTGTAGAATCTCGGTTTCGGGTGACTGGTTACTTTAATAAATTGTTGATATAGAGACTATAACATGTTTAATTTGGTGTGCTGGTATAGATTTATTTGGTTTTTGTTAGATGGATCAGATAAAATTATTTGATTTAATGAAATTGGAACAGTACACAGTGTTGTGGAATATAGCTCTTAGTAACTCGAGTTGGTACATTAATACCCAAGAGAGATGTTTATCTTTACTTTTTATAGTTGCTTTTGGAAGGGGAAAACAGTTTTAGATATAGATATATATATATATAACATACAGAACTAAATTTGTCCAAAGTATTTTGTAAACAACAGTGTGTTGATCTTGTAAAATTGGATCTTAATTTGAATTAACTTGATTTTGATCAATTTGCCAATTGCTGAGAATGTGCTCAGGCTTATATTATATCTGTATGTTTTTGTCAATGGGGACAAAATGGCTAATGCTTTCATTTGAAATCCAAGTGATCATTTTAATTTGTCAAGGTAAATCATTTGTTGTCAAATTATATATTACAACTTGTTATGGACAAATGAAGGTTGATGAGACTGATGTTGAAGTTGTGTACATTTATCTTGGCTTTTTCCTGACCAGAATCAGTATCTTATCAGTGATTAGCATATTATCATCATTGCAGTGCTTGCATGTGTATTCAAAGGTCAAATCCAGCTGTGGGTTGTCATAAAACGGGCATTTCAACATGGATGTTAAATTTTAGTATACTCGTGATAATTTTGAGACATTGATATCCCTTGCACTATTTTCAAACTGTATAGCAGATAAGATTTTTAAAGACCCATATAAAATTTTCCATGATTAACATGATACACTGTGAAATCAGTTCTAAGGGTGAAGATTAAGGAATGATTGCAAAAGGTTTTTGAATTTCATGTAATGTTTAGTAAGAGAGTAATGTTCATGTAACAATGTTATTTGTGCAATGACAAAGTCAGGACAAAAAAATTGTTAAAGAAAAAACAAATGCCAAATAAAATGCTTACATTAGAAATCCTGCCCAAGGTGGGGTTATGGTCATTGTGTTAAGGTGTAATTTTACTTGTCATTGTTTGATTATTGTGTAAATAATGAATGGTGCAGCTACAACTGTTAAAAACAGAATTTTAAGATGCTTAGATGTTATTCCAGAAAATTGTTCTTCTGATCACTTGCTGTTGGTGTGATTCACAAGAGATGCTTTGGTACATAATATTGTTATAATGTAATTGATATTTTAATAAAATTAGTTGGATATTGTTACATTTCTTTTTGATTTTTGCTTAGAATGGTACCCTTAATTGCCAAAAAATTATCCAGCCAGTTGGCAGTATTAATCCACTGATTCAGAAGAATTGTAGGTGTATAAAATTGAATAATGAAGTGTCAGTGGCATTTACAGTTTAATCCATGTCCTCCTCATCTCAGTTAACTGCACCTAGGCAATTGTGCTTGGTTGAGTCTTTCTAATTTATGGCACTTGTACAATGGCTGTTATGTATAACAGACATGAATTAATCATGACAAAATTCTTTTCTTTGGGGTTATAATACATAACAATATACTATAATGGGTGGACTTGCAGCAGCACTTGCTAGTATCATATTTAACAAATTCAAGGCTACAAAACAGTGTCACATAACACTGATTTATTTCACACAAAGAAAAAACAAAAAACATCAATGTGAGGAAAAGGTTAATTTAAACAGAATTCTACAAGTTATCCTATTGGCCTGATTTAATCGTTTGATAGTTACACAGCCTATGACCATTGTTGTTGTAACATTCTGTCATTTCATCACCAGCTATTATTTTCATTGATCTGTCATTCAGTAAACCAAAATGTTTCTCTTCATAAAAATCCTGTTAAATCATTATAATTACCCGTCTATATACATTCATCATATCTAAATTTGAAAAAAAGTTTTCAAAATCTCTGTGAAGGAAACATTGCAAACAAAAATACTGGTGTGTACTCTTTTCTAGCAAGATTTAATGGAGACGGCAAACATGTTGTTGGAGAGAACAGTGCATCCATTGGGGCCCCATCCATTGGGCTTCTGTAATGAACACAATGAAATATATTTCAAAAAACTAATATAAAACATAACACACTCCAATTGCAATCTCCAACAGCATATTACCAAATCACTTTAAAATAAGTCTTAAGCCTGCCACCTAAAATACCTTATATACAAGTACTGGTAGTTCATTTATTTTTCAACTTTTATCATTATATTGAATGAAGTAATCTTAGAAAACTCTTCTATGAACTGAGTACATTAATTCATAAAGTCTAATTGATTGAAATCAAGGGTGCTGAACTCCCAAGTTGAAAGAATGTTTTATTTTTCATCTTATTTTTCAAATTTTATGACTGAAAGTACCAAGGGTACCAATCTCCGCCTACTCTTCTTATATAATGAATATCCGCTTACTACACAAAACACTTATTGTTGCAAATCAACAGGGTTGAACTCCTGAGCCAAAAAGACTGAACAGGTAAGTAATCATGACATGGTTTTCTTTTGCACAGAGTACCAGTACATTTTGTCTTTAAACAAGACAATATTTGATGACTCATAGTTACGTACTCCACAAAATTCCGGTTTTGGAGTTCAACCCTCTTTGAAATAGACTCAATATACTAGTATAACCAAGGGCTGACCAGCAGTCCCTCAGTATTCATCTCATATAAACGGTAGCTCCACATCTTTCTCTCCAAGCATATCATATTGTAAATAAGAATTGTCCAACTGCCCAACTTCCATGTTTCTGCTTTCTCTCCTCTTACAAAACAACAGGAAAGAAGAATGGATCCATATTTTAAAAATCTGCTTGTCCTCATTCGACTAAATTAGCATTGTTTCATTCTGTTTTTATTTTTGAGTATTGAATTAAGATATATCTCAAATATTCAAGTTTTTTGGGGCTTAATTAAACATTGAATATGAAAATCTCAAATTTGACTGTTTGTTGAAAAGCAGAAACATTGAAGGATGACAGGTGTTATACAATGTATATTTACACTACTTTCCTGTGGAGTTCATTGTAAGGATAATGGGATGGTGTGCCATTCTCATCTCTGCTCACTTTACCCTCTGTGAATCTCTTCAACACTATACAGCAGTTGTATAATACTGCCCAATACTTACATTTATTTCACAAGGGGGACACTCATATTTCCATCTGGCACTTTGTCACTTAGTCATGGAAAAATTGTCAAATTCGGGACATTTTAACTCTTTTAACACTTTGTCAACATTCGGGAATCTTAAGCCTGAGAACACTGACAAAAGTTAAACTAGAAGCGAAACCTATGAATTATATTTGGTGCGAGTGATCTGACATGCTCAGGGTACAAATGTCTGCGCTCGTCTGCATGGTGTCAGAAGACTGGTCATACAAACAGTTTAGGTCCAGGGGGGTTAAACTCCAAAGCTTAAGACTGGATTCCCATGCCTCCAACGGGATCCATCTAACTCCATGGGGATTCACGCCAAATTGCTATCAACTTAAACAGCTTAAATGTCTGTCATGCCAACCAAATAGGGGGTAATTAACTTTCGTGCACAGTAGTTAATTACCCCTGACAGCTTTAGTAGGTGTGACAGACATGTAAGCCACTTAAGTTGATAGCAATTTAGTGAGAATCCCCTTGGAGATACATCGAACCCAAAGCAAGAATGATAGGCTTTAGGAATGGTCCCTAAGTCTTTGTTTATGTACATGACAAGAGGTCATCCATTTTTATCATAATCTTTAATAATTTTCATAATACAAAGAATGGACTTTTTCAAAAAACCTTCCCCCCTTTCATAGAGTACACAAAAGAAAGCTGAAAATGATGACCTTTGCCGGCAAACCCTTGGGGGTAGATCATCATTTTTATCACTTTCCAAAATCATACAAAGGGCATTAACACACACACACACACACACACACACACACACACACACACCCATGTGTATGGTTTGTAGACCTGTGAAAATGATGATGAAATGGATGACCCCTAAAGTATTATGTACATGGAGTAACTACATACCTTGACTTTCTTCATCCAAAAGGCCCATCATATATAACCCAGGTGCAGAGCTATGGAATATTAATGATATTAATAATATAGGACACCATTTGGGGCATTCAATAGCACATCATCACCTGGGCCTTGTTAAATGGGGACAATATGGGACAGAGAAAGCCAGGTTATGTACTTACTCTATGCACATACTGTATTTAAATGCACAGTGTATAAGAAACAATGTCAGAATTACCAACCTGTAACTATTCAATGTGCTTTAGGCTTTGTATATTCTATTAATTTCTTCAAAATGTCTTTTTAAGATAATAATAGGGCAAACAAAAGTGGTTTCTTCATGGTACGTTTTATATTTATTATTAGAGTATGCATAAATCTTATTATTAGAATATGCATAAATACTTGATAATACACACTGCCCCCCTTTTCAATAGCTTTGAGAAATGGGCCCTTTTTTCAAAGCTATTGGATTTCCAGGAATGGGCTCTTTATTAAGTTTACGTCACTTGAAGCCTGTAAAAACTTAAACTTCAAAATCTTCCCCAACAATAAATATAAAACACACTGTGAAAAATCCCCTTTGTTTGGCCTATTCATCACTTCTGAATAATATTTTGTGGGGATTTCCCCCAACATGCCAAAGTTGACCAACACTGTACCGGTAGTTCTGTAATGAGGCTCAGACATTTTTACTCTGTGCTGACCTGCCAGTCGCAAAGTACGGCACGCCTACATATATCCTAAAGAACTTATTTACAATGCACCAGAAACTGGCCAACTTATATCAATGTAACAAACTTAAAGAATTCCTCGCAGTGGGCTTTCTACAAGTGTGATCATAGTCCAAGAGTTATATCTCACCTTCAGGTACATATACATACTAGTACCTGAACCAATGCTTTTCTATAAATATTAGTATAAATTATATGTCAAACATATGTACTAGATGTCACATCATCTATATTTTCAAACCGTCTTGTGTTCCACCCTGAATATAAGGATTTACTAGAAACCTTATTCTGTAATAATCATACAAATATAACAGAATACATGTACGCGATATTTCCAATTCTCTTTATCTCAGGGTGTGTGCATGTACTGGAAAAATGCATTCAAAATATTTAAACAAATAAAATTGATTTATACGTCCTACATGTGCATGTAGTCATCAAAATTTCAAATCTAAATCTAAAGAGAATAAAACAAATACTTCAGATTGTTTGTAAGGTAGGAAACATTCACAATCACACTGCTTTCAAATGACCTCCCCTCCAAGACCTGTCTGGCATAGAGCACCTGTCAGAGGATGAATTGCTCAACAGTTAACTTATTAGAGAACAAAGGTTTACAAAATCACTGAAAAATTTGCAGAAGAAAAACTACAGCACTACCAAGTAACAAACTATGAAGCATCTACAAAGTTGCGCGCATAAGTACAAGTTCTTCAGTGATGTTTTTTATGGGGAATATTAAAAAAGTCTTAGACATATTTATGGACTTTATTGTAAAGGTCTTGAACCAATTTCAGATGCTTTTATTAAATAATTTATAAAATTATTTTCTTGTAAACCTAAATAATTTAGAACTAAAATTTGTAATATCAACATTTCAGAGTCACCTCATTTCCCTAAAACCTGTTAAAGCAATCAATGTGGCTCACAAAGCTGTTCTGCTTACTCTTATATGGAATATTGACATGCACATTGTAGCAACCCTTTTTCATCAGCTGCACACCTGAACAGTCTGTTTTTTCTGTTTCGGGGGTAAAGCGCAGGACAGAAAAACCAGACTGACCCAGGCCCCCCTGCAGCAATAAATTGCCACCTGCAGAGTGCTACAAAATATGTAAATGCTGAATTACACAAAATCTGATTGATATCATTCAGTGGATATTTTTTTGATGTAAAAAGCAGTGTGATTCTGATGTCACGTTTAGGTAAACTTAAATTAAAATATAACTGAATATTAGAAGGATTTTTAAAAATCTGACAATATGTAAAGTCACAAGTTTTAGCCAAGGTAAACGGCAATGTGGCATGCAAAGCACAGATTTTGTGCCCAGTTGTACACCATCTGGAAGCCATTTTTAACTCAAAAAGGTGCGCACAGTGCCACGTATTATAGCTCTACATATGGGGCAGTTGCGCAGAGCTGGGGCACACTGAGTGCAAGCCACCAGGTGGCCACAAGGTAGGAATACCACACTGACATCTTCATCCATGCAGATTTTGCAGGTTCTCTGTTCCTTCAGTCGTAGGTTTTCCTCCATTAGTGACTTTGCTTCTAATGTTAAAAAATCCAAATAATGATGTTAGTTAAATCCCTCAGATAAATGTTAATAAATTAGCTTTATTCTAATTATCTTCTGTTTTACAAGAACTTAGATTTAATTTCAAAGACGACGAAATTAACTGTTACCCAAGCTCAAAATTCAATGGACAAACCTTCATCTTTATCACCAGGAGGACCAATAGTAGCCCCTGCACCCTTTTTGTCTTTTTTCTTCTTGTTCTTCTTCTCTTCTGTTTTTTCTGAAAGCAACAGACACAAGCATAGTCATGAAAAATACCAGTTTTGTTGAATGATTATCTTTGCATGTCCCTTAGATATGGTGTGCAGCAAATGAGCACATAAGCTGATTTGATAATAGAAACAGCTGTATATCCCAAAAGACACTAGACCGTAAGTATATGCAGAAGGCTTCAATGTAGAACATGTCTATTTACTCTTTGTCTGGGTTGTAGTGTTCGTGCTGCGTGTGTCTTGGGGTGGCTGCTGCTCTCTGGGTGGCTGGGCTGGCTCAGGTACTCCACCAGCACTTGACTGGCTCTCTTCCCTATTCATGCTTTCCTCGATTTCAAAGATGGCCTCCAAGAGGCTTTCTGCATTCGGAAAATCATCGCCAACAGTGCGGAGTCTGTTTTCAATGGCAGTGCGCACCACTGTTCTAGAACAGCCCATTTCCAGGACAGCCTGGACCGTAGGTGTATCCAGCCTTGCCTTGATCTCTCTTGGTTCTACAGGGAACTGCCCTGGGGGCCTGGCAACTGCCGCAGAGCCTTTTGGGGTCACAACAGAACATTTTGTATTTAAAACTATATAAATAGTACAATCACAATTTTTTTATAATAAGAATAAATTAAAAATCATTGACAATAATATTTGTTTCATTCATATTTATTTCAATGATACTTATAAGCTTTGTACTTGTACAGATAATGATTTCCAAGAGACAAGAACAGCAAAATGAAAGACAGGAGAAAAGTTATGAACAAATCTGATAAATATTTAAAGTCTACTTACGTTGAGCACAGGCATCAAATGTCTCAATCATAGTTAGGAAACTAGTTTATGCAGATTATGTATTTACTAGTAAGAGATTATAAATTCCCACAAAATATCATTTCAAGGTATAATAAATATGCCCAGCAAAAAGGTTTGTTTTATATTTATTCATTTTAATATTGAAGACTTTCAAAACAATAAGTCTAAGAGGCCTGCTCCACCATAAATTTATGACAAAGCCATGTGCTCACATTGTTGACATGCATTGCCTCACTTTCAAACAGTATCAATAAAGGAGGCATGTGAAACTGGCTTTTTATTTTTAAAATCTTCAGTAACGATACATATAAAACATACTATTCAACATATCTTTTGTTGGGCCCATTGATTACTTTAAAAATGGTATTTTGTAGGAATTTACAGTCTCCAACACACTCAAGTTGTCTGTGTGACCTAGTTTCCTAACAAGGTGCAGACATTTGACGCCTGTGCTCTTACTTTGAGCAGGTAGGGGTGTCGCAATCGCAGGTCTTGGCTGGTTTGGCTAGTGACAGTAAAAAATAAGAAACTTGACTTGCCAACAAAATGTTGAGTAAAATTTATAAATTGGAAAATCATTCATACATTCAGTGTTTCCATGTATATATCTATATCGAAATGCATTACAAGAGAAGAAATGTTTGACCAAGTTTCAATAGGCTGTACAAAGTTAGTTATAAATACAAATGGCTTGTACAACTTACTGGGTACTGAGGTGGATGTTTTGCTTGAACATCTCTGATAAAGTCCTCTCCTTTGCACTGTTTTACAAACTCACAGCGTGGGAACCATCTGGCATGTTCTGTCCAGGGGTCATCACCATGCTCCCAGTTTCTAAGGCCTCCATCGCAGAAGAAACACTTCACATTGTCAGCAAAGCCTATGTAAATATAACACGAATTCGTTAAGAGTAAAGAAGACGTTTATAAGTAATGCATAATGTTAGACTGTGGGGCTCTGCATGGTATCTATTTGTTAGTTATATATTGTCCTGGATTGTGCAAGAATACTTAAAATATGTTAGAAGAGACACTGAATTGCATAACAACTGCATTATGACTTACGATATAACACCAATTTTACCAGTTAATTATTTTACAAAGGAAAGAATTATCACCTGCATAAAAGAATCCTGCTTTAGCTAACACTTCTGGCTTCTGCGTGTTATGGGAGGTCCAGTGAGAAAATGTTGCTAACCTCGTAGATTCTACAGCAAATCTTTCATGCTTAGGTCTCTCAGTCAAAATACCCAGATCATCGCCTCTATAGAAGTCTATAGGAGAATGCATAATGACTTAAGTCAAGACAAGAATTAAAAACATTATTACTGAAAAGAAATTGGCTGTTACATTCTATTAAATAGTCCTTGTGTAATTACCAAAACTCTATTGCTTTTCAAAATATATCCAAAAACATTTATCTATAGTATCATTTCCTTTTTTTTTTTTTTTTAATTACTGTTACAATTATTTCAAAAGTAACAATGTATCTTAGTAAAAATCAATTCCACTCACTTCCCCCCAATGTGGTGGCAGTACCTCCTGCCGCAGAGGAAGTGACCAAAGACTCCTGAATTGCTGAGGGCAAGTTTGCTTGATCTGGCTCTAAAGCAATATTACCCACGTCTACACCCAATGCATACAGGCATGTTGGAAAGTGATGGCGATGTTCCTGCATTGGGCGATCACCTACATAGAACAGAAACTGAATGCATAGATAAGATTGCAAAAATTACACTAGACAACAAAGCTGACGAACAAACTGTCAACAGAATCATTCAGAATATTCCATTTAAACATTAATGTAAACATTCCAGTAAATATCATAAATGTAAAAAAAAAAAAAAAAACTCATCCATCTTTGCAGTGTTTACAATGACTCACTTCATGATCAGTATAAACATTTCTATTTAAATTTATAAAATATAAAAATTTCCAAAATTTAAATGATTTTTGTAAATATTTAGAACTACAATATGTTGGAACTGTAATATGCTAATTTTCCATGTGCTAAGAAGCAATCAGGTAACAGGATCAACAATATAGCCCAGTTCAGTCTTACCTTTAGGGCATATTTTCAACCACATGTTATACCCTTTTAGAGGTGGATATTCATACTGATAGAATAATAATACATTACACACAATATTATTTAGCAAGAAATTGAGGGAATATCAAAGGTTTAAATTAATTACCTGGGTCCCAATTTCTAAGTATTCCACTGCAGAATGCACATTGAACAGAATCTGCATTTCCAGTGTAGAAGAAGCCTGCTTTGGCCAGGTCATGTGGTCTCACATGGGCTGATATTGGCCAGTGGGCAAATGTCCTCAGTCTTGCTGCTTCACTTTTCATCTCAGTAGACTGATGTGTGAAGGTACCAGCAGTTTGGGTTGGGTTTCTGTCATTATCCCTTTCATCCTGCCCCCCTCCAATGGTTCCAGCCAGATGTTGGTAGTGGCTAAAAGAGTCATTTGCTGGTCCTCGTAACTGGGAAATCTCAGAGTTCGAGGTTCCAATGCTGTTAAGCGACTGGACTAAAACATCTTGATTGGGAAAGCCAAGTGACTGCTGTAAAGCTTGCTGACTTGCCAGATCACCACCCAGTAATCCATGGCTACCAGACCTAACCAAATTTGGGAAGGGGTCTGTGCCATCTGATGAGTCCCGCAGTGCTACCCCTGGGACTAATGGAACATTTGCTGTGTCTGACCCTCTCACAAATCTGCAATCAGGAAAGCGTAGCCTGTGTTGATCCATAGGGTTGTCTCCATGGGACCACTGCCTATGATGACCACCACAACTGAAGCAAACTACCTCATCCCCATTACCAGAGTAATAGAACCCAGATCTTGCCAGCCTTGTCGCAGCCACAGGTGCCCACTGAGGCCAAGCTCTAAAGCTGGCCAGACGCACAGCTTCATATTTGTTTTCTTCTCCTTGGAGAAAGGCTGGTCCTTTTGCAAGTCGTAGGAAGTATTCATTTAGGCTGGCTGGGTAGACAAAAATGTGCCTGTATTGCTTTGGGACAAATGCTGCATAATACTTGAAAAAATCTCCAGGCAGACCTCTTATGGATGATTTCTCTTTAAGTATGGGTTTAGACACCAATTCATGCTTCTCTGTAGGAAAGCTCATACAAAATAACTGGAGAATTTCAAGCATTTCTTTTGCGCAATTTCTTTTGGTTATTTGAACTTGCTCACTGCTGGTCTTATACAACTGTGATTTCTCTTTTCCTCTGGCAAAATGCCTCATGCTTCTTTTGCTCAGCTTTATCACGATGCCCCTTTTCTCAATCATTCCATACTTCCTCATTGTCTTCTTTTTTCTTTGTCTTTTTGTGCATGCTCTTCTTTTCTTTTGGATCCTCTTCCTTGACCATGATACCAGTGAAGCAGATGGACTAACAGTCTTCCTTTCTATTCTTCTTTTACTGCTTCTCCCACCTGTCCTTTTTTTGATTCTCTTATTTGACCGTGGTACTGGTAATGTTGATAGACTGCCTAGAACCTTCACAATACCTTCTAAGTTGCATGACATTCCATGCACTGTCTTAATGATGGAATCGGTGGGTGCATGGTTTACCAACTTCTCAGGACTAAGCACACATGTGTCAATATGTTCAGCATTGGACTGAGGATGTGATGGCAGCTCTTCCACAGTTTTTACTCTGGTCTCAAATGAAGGACCTACAATGAAGCTATCTGTTTTGGGTAAACATAGATTAGGATCTTGATTACCCAAACCTTGGATCTCATTCAACCTGCTGTTTCTCTTTGCTGGCTCTGGGATTTTGTCACCACTGTGTTGATACTCATGAATATCTATGAAATTCCTCTTCTGTACCACATGAGACAGATCCTCTATTATTATGCAACCTCCTGAAGCATTATGGTGCTCTAGGGGAGTGTCTCCCTCCTCCAATGCATCAGTTTCTCTTCTAGACAACAAGCAGGGCCCAACAAATTGACCAGAGATGGGAATTTCTTTTTTTGCTTCAATGTGTTTGGAGTTATGATATACAACTGTTGCTGCAATCTCGCGCAAAGACTTCAATCTGTTGTCACACTTTCTATCATTACCTGCAGTTACCTGATGAAGATCTGTTTCAGATACTTCATGGGTATTATCTTTCTTATTAATATCATCTGCTTCAAATGTGGTAGAGCTGATTGGTTCATCTCTGCATTCTGGGATTTTCTCAACAGCTGCACTCACCTCTTCTTTTACCCCGATTTTGCTGCCTTTCACTGCAAATACTTCTACACATCTAAGCTGGTTTGGTATCTGACTGCAGAGAGCACTCTTTCCAAAAAGTACATCCTGCAATACTGACTTCTTTTCAGTGTTGTACTTCAGGAGATCCTCCTTTACACCACCTATTATTGACGATCCTGCATTTTCTAAAAGGAAAAAGCCTTTCAAGTTTGCTGTGACTTCTGATGTATCGAGATAATCTGCGATTCTTGAATCAAACATTTCAAGCCTAAGTGGCTCCAACTTCCTCTGGTGCTGTTGGTTTTTATATTGTCTCTCTTCACTGGAAACCAGCCACAATTTTTCTATTTCATTCTGATCCTTGTCAAGTGATGTCAAAAATGGAACTCCATGTGAGAATCCACTTACATGATCTGTACAATGTGTTTTCAGTTTGCTTGTGTCCAAGTACATGGTGGTTGCTGAGGGTATTCCATGTGACATGTTTTCACAAGCAGTTGCAGCAGGCACTGAACCTTTGGTGCATGGCATGCTATTGCTCGCTTGATTTGCATGTTCAATTTCAGGCCCATCCACATGGTTTATTATTTCTTCATAATCTGCTTCATCTTCCACCTGCACAGGCTTTCGGTAAGATTTCTCTTCCCTGTCTTTTTTATCATCCATGACAAAGTCTTTGTCCATGTCTCTGTCACTCTCTTTTGGATACAAAGCATAGAGGGGATGTGACTGTTGGCATCTTGTAATTTTCTCATTAGCCTTTTCCCACTTATTCAAACTTGCAGTTTGGTTAGCAAGAGAGAAAGAGTTAATAATTTTACGATTTCCCAAACTGGTATTTTTCTCTGATTTGCTCCCCTCATTAGAAGCCTCCATCTTATTGTTTTGACATAAGGCATCAGAAGAAAGGAAACAGGAACCTTCTGTCATGGTGTCAAGATACACTTCATGTTCTTCACCAAGTGTGAAACTTCTGGATATTCTATCTGTATCCATGTTTCCATCATTTTTGTAATCTGGCATAAACATCTCTTGAAACTTGGCTAGCATTGAATAATTTTCTGTATTTTTTCCTGTAATATCTATTGGTTTGTCTTGTTTATCCATTTCTCTTTTTACTTCTGAATGGAGTGAGAGTTTGCTTTCTCGGTCTATTATAGCAGTTTCAGTACTTGGGGTACTAATGTGGCAATCATCGTCTGTCTTTCTACAATCTTCTTCGTGGCATTTGTCTTTCTTCTGAAAATATAATTTCAGTAAAGAAAGGCAGCAAAGCTGTCTCGCCTAGATCGAGAACGATCTCCGGCTGACGATCTTCCACAAACGAATATGAGCTTTCTTCTTTTGCTTGGATTGCGAACGATCTCTAGTGGAAAATTGGAAAATTGCCCTTTTGTCAATCAGCTTTGTCATTTGCCGTACGTATGAAGGTCCGGAAGGTGTCCCCTTTCACAAATTGGCAGTTAATTTGCTAAGAGTGTTTTGTACCACATAAAGGTCACTCACATTTTATTGTGTTTTGTAAGCTTTAGGAAGTAGTTTCATCGTGACTGAATAACAGCATGCACTACAAAGTAGTACCATTTGTCTGTGACGCATCATAAAAGCTGGATATGTCAAATTACTCTTAGAAAATTTCTTACAACATCCACAGCTGCCCCGACAAGCCAAGATGTATTTTTTCAAAAAAATAAAGTCGTAAGCCGTCTAGCCGTCTTTGAAAAAATAGGCCGTTCGGTGATGTCAGCGGCCGTCCGAATGACGGCTGGACGGTTCGCTGGGAAAAGCCTGGCTCATATTGGTATATTTTTTAACGAGGGGCTTACTGACACAAAGTTTGGGCACTTATATAGATTGTGCCTGCTTGTATCGAGCTAAATTCTGAATAACGGTGCAGTACTGCTGTTCGATGTGGTTTGCTTTACTTATCCTGAGTTCTCAGAAAATAATCTGAAAAACAGAACTCTCAGACTGTTGTACTATTATGATGCCTTCTTGCTATACACTTCATGGTATCCACTTCATGGTTGGCTTTGAATTTAAATATGACATCACCCAGCTAACATGTGGGTGCATGGCTTCCAAAATCAACCAATTATATTAAAGGATATATATTAAAGTTCTTATATATCTAAGTTTAACTGTTTGGAGGGTTAAGCTGGATCAAGTCTGTGTCAAAATTCTTTGAAGCTTTGCAGGAAAAATCAATCTTCCTTTGTTTCTCTGGCTCCTTGTTTGGCCTGATGATCAGATTTATCTAGTGCCCCCAGGTCTGCTGGAGCAGCTCTTTGAAAATAACGCATGGGTAGATTTTTATCTGAGATGAATATCGCCAGCGAGAGTGGGTTCAATACACTCAAGACAAAAGCTACCTGTGAGCTGAAGGGCACTTTACCCTCTAATGAAGAAGTAAAGGAAGTTCCAGCTAGATGGACGATTAAGATCGGACTTCTGATGGTAACTGGTATTGTTTACCTCAGTTCTGTGAAAGCAAACAATGGTGCATGTATAAATTATACAGAGGATTTGTACATTCAGGTGACGTTAATTTAAAATCGAAGGGGATTTTCGATAATATTCCTTGAAAAATACACTAAATTTATTCACACAGTGTATTGTTCACACAGTGTATCCATGCATATGCCTGGTTACGCCCCTGTCGCAAACCATTTCCCGCTGACTACATAAAAACTGCCTTCGAGCATGGACAAAAAGTCCAAGCTTTTAGGCTTGCTCAGATCGCTGACGATCTCTTGTTGACAAATACAGTAACAAAGTCCTTTGAACTAGGGTGGAAATTGCCTTATTGTCTCGTTCTGATCACTCAAGAGCTCCCATTGACGATCTTCAAGTCCCTTGAACAAATGTGAAAAAGGCCTTTCTGTCTCGGTGCTCAGAAGTTCCAGATGTTCAAATTTCATGAAATAAGGTCATTTTTGACCAGAAGTTGTCTGCCTCGCCAAGCCTAATGTTTTATTTTCCGGGGTTCAAAATTTATTATCCATTACCATACTGTACATTTTGCTTTCACCACCACAATGTACTTTTTGATACAGCATAACTCGAAAACTGTAAGGAAATCAAACAAACGGAGACCACGTACAGTGTTTGGCTTGACATGCTCTACAAAATGCAAAAAAAGAACAGGTGTCTAGCATTAACAGTTCCCCAATTAGAGACAGTTTTCAGTTTCGGAATCTTATGGCCGATACTCCCGTGAAAATGCACCGAATGACCCCAAACTCATAGAGGTGAAAGATGACCTGAAGGGTAACACCTGCCAATAATAATATAGGTTAGGTCTGTGTAATTTCTGAATATCAGTGCAAATATTTTTTTCGTAAAAAAAATTAATTTTTTTGAAAATTTTGGCCCGTTTGACCTTGAAGCAAAGGTCAAAGGTCAAATCCAAGGGCATATTTGAAATCTACACATATGACTTTTGGAAAGCCGTCTGTAGAAAATTTTCCTATAATTCCCTCGGTAGGGTAGATAATTAGCATTTAATTTTGCCAATTTTGGACAAGGGTGCATTGCAACGAGCGCCACACCTAGACCCCAGCACTGGAGAAGCCCAAATTTTACGTGAAACGCGTTGAGATTATAGGTGACCTAAATCCAAGAGATGGGTACGCAGGGCCTTGTAGTCTAGGAGGAGAAGCGGTAACGATGACATGGCAGCGGAGCCGGCGGAACAGGTGGGTCGGGACTAAAACCATGTGTACCGCCAGCACCTACGCTGGTGGTACAATAACTATTTTATCATGTCCAGTTTCATATTTGGCAAACCCAGGGTTCTGCTTATAACAGAGTATCCACGTCAATGACAGTATCCACAAGACAATATTACTAGTCTAAGCATTTGTCAGCATTTGCAGACAAGTCAATTATTTACTATTTACTTAATTCTAAAGTATGCCTAAGACAGGGAAAAAAAGAAAAGAAAAAGAAAACACACACACACACATAAATATAAATACAAGACTAGATAGCACCAAAATATATACATCTACATACAACAAACTGCATTTATATAAGGTTCTAATATGTTAAACATTAGAAATTTTCATTATATCAACACCATTACCTCAGGTTCTGTAAGCTCATCTTTATGGGTACCAACAATAATCACAGGAGGACATTCACTTTCGTCCACAGTTTGACCAGTGGTAAAGCTGTGGACAGAGTCCAACCAGTAGTCACTGTGTTCTAGGGAAGACAGAATTGTCCAGAATTAACAAAACTGGCACATGCTACAGAAATTATAGGACATCATATTTGAAGACCTGATATAAAAGTTCATTAATAACTNGTCGTTGGGGAAAGTGTTAGGGATGCACTCTATGATGTGCACACAATAGCAGCATCGCAGGCGGTCTTGTCCAGATTCGCCAAGCGAAAAATGGTTCGAAAACACGGTCGTGTTACAGGACGCCGATCGGACCATCAGCAACAAGAAATAGACGCAACCAAAAAGGTT